TGCACCACCATGTCGGTCACTCAAAAAAAAAAAAAAAAAAATCCTGGCAGGTGATGATAGCACATACCTTTAATCTTAGCACTCATGAGGCAGAGGCAGTTTGAGTTTGAGGCTACTACTCATTATAGAGTGAGTTTTCAGGACAGCTAGGGATACACAGAGAAACCCTGTCTCAAACACAAAAACAAAAAATCCTGTTACCTTCTACAACAGAACTCCTTTCACTCTGCTTATCTTGTCCCTGATGTGAATTTGCTTTAAAACATTAGAAAAGTGTGTGTGTGTGTGTGTGCATGCGCATGTTTGTATGACAGTCTCTGTCTGTGTATCTGGTCTGTGTCTTTCTGTGTATGTATATGCCATAGGTGTGCAGGTACCCAGGGAGGGCAAGAAAGCATATCATATTCTTGGAACTTGAGATACAGGCAGTTGTGACCTGCCTGATGCGGGTGTTGGGGTTTGAACTCATGCCCTCTGTTTTTAACTGTTAAGCCACTTCTCCAGATCTGTTTACTTTTTGTTTTTAACAGAAGGATCTTACTGTGTAGCCTATGATAGCTTTGAACTTGCAATCTTTGCCTTGACCTTTCTAGTGTTGGCATTACAGGTGTCTACCATTATCCTCTGCTCCCTGTTTTTATGTCTTCTTTTATGGTTGCCCTTTCTTACCCTCATTCCTATCTACCCAGTTTTCTTATAACCAGTGTCCAATTTATATGCCCCATAGCCTTCTTTTACCCCGAACCTACCCTATTTTCATTCACTCTTGAATCAAAAGTAAGCTTTCCCCTGAATTTCTGTAGTTCTTATATTTTTTGCATTTATCATCCTAACTGTTCCAATTTGTATCATAGTTATTGTGTGCTAAACTGTAACCTAATTGAAAACAGGAACCACATCTCTTAGTCATTTCAATGGTGTTAACACTGTCATTGTATGTAATAGATGGTTACTAGCTTGGTGATTTCCAATGACTGAATGGTCACAAGTAATCAGGATGCTGACATTTTTATCAATTCTCTGACATGAATATTAGTATAAATCTATTGCATCAAATTGTACTAATAGTATTACCTTCATTTATCCTTCAAATTTCTAATCTGGAGTTATACATGTTTGCCTAGTTGTTATCATAATATGTAGCATTCTCCACTGAATAGCTATCATATTATGATAACTATTACCTAGGGCAAGTCCCAAGTATAACATGTATGTGATTCTTTAATTCTTATAACACCAGTGAAACAGGCTATTCTCCCTCATGGGACAATATTCCTTTTTACAGATAAGGGTGTTAGGAATTTTCCTAACATGAGCTCTCTGCTGATGCAAAAATACCAATCAAGCCCAATCACAACAAGCCAAATTAAAAAATACCCTGGTTTAATGGAATTCCTGTGCCCTTGGGTGGCCCCGAGGGGGAACTGGGAAGGGACCACAGGGACAGACAGACAGACAGACAGACAGACACACACACACACACACACACACACACACACACACACCACCAGGAGACTTTCCCAGGGAGCAGTTTAAGTAGACTGGGGAGTGGTCAAGATTTTGGTGGGCTGTCTTGACCCTCCTCTGGGGAGGAGTCAAGGTTTGGCGGGCACAGGGATGGGGCCTCCAAAAACTGGGACTTACAAAGGGTGCTCAGACACAGGGGGCAAGTAACTTTTTAGGGATGAGAGAGATGGCTCAGGTTCAGAGCACTTGTTTCTTTTGTAGAGGACCTGGGTTCAGTTCCTAATGCCACATAATTGCTAGTAACCATTTGTAATTCCAGCTCCAGAGAACCTGACACCCCCGTTTGACCTCTAAGGGTATTGCATGCACTAGGTGCACAGTCAGACATGTAGGCAAAACAACCATGCATGTAAAATAAAAATCAATAATAATAAGCCCCCATGCTCTAGCCTAAAACCTACTGAATCGTAATTTTTAAAGTTAAAGCTCAGGGTACTGCATTTTTCAGCCAAAGTATACATGATAATTCTTATTTGTATGTGGGATTTGATAGCAAGTGTAACTTTTTTTTTTAAAAAGTTGCCTTCTTAAAATTTTGTTTCCTCTAGTAATAATTTATAATAATAATTTAAATTTTAACTATTTTTTATATTGGAGACTGACATAGTTTTACTAGTAATTTAGCTTGCAAACATTTTTACTCTTGTATATGATAGTATAAAATTTTTGGGGACTAGAGAGATGGCTCAGTGGTTAAGAGCACTGGCTGCCCTTCCAGAAGTACTGAGTTCAATTCCCAGCAACTACATGGTGGCTCACAGCCATCTATAATAGGATCTGATGCCCTCTTCTGGCATGCAGGTATACATACAGAGCACTCAAACATGAAATATAAATAAGTGAAAATTAAAAAAAAAACTTTGGCCATACTTTAGTAAAATAGATGGAATACTTACTGACTTCTTTCTTTCCCCACTAGTAAAGCAAACCTTGATATTCTCAAATTTATAATATCCATTGTATGTTAGGAGTTGAGGTTTTTACTGAAGACTGAAGTTTCTTGGTGGAGAACCTAGACACAGTAATTGAATGTGAAGCTCTATAAACAGACTAATAGGCACTCAGAATGGGGAGAAGCTGGTTTTAGGAGTAAAAGTTTCAGCAAAAGGATGGTATCTGAGCTGGACTTTGAAGGATGAAATTTCATAAGGTGGGTCAAAATTGTCAGTCATTAGAAGTAGCGAAAAAACAGTTCTACAGAGTATGGTAGAATTGGTGGGCTCAGGCAGTGATCAATAGTCCCTTGAAGCCGGGCGGTGGTGGCGCAGGCCTTTAATCCCAGCACTTGGGAGGCAGAGGCAGGAGGATCTCTGTGAGTTCGAGACCAGCCTGGTCTGCAAGAGCTAGTTCCAGGACAGGCTCCAAAACCACAGAGAAACCCTGTCTCGAAAAAAAACCAAAAAAAAAAAAAAAAATAGTCCCTTGAAGCTACAGCATGGAGGCAGGGATTGTGGGACACTAGTAAACAAAATGATATGAGCAATTTCAAGTTGTGGCTCAGTGGTAGAAGATTTGTCTAACGTGCAAAGTTCTGGGTTTGATCCCCAGCATAGTGTGTAGGCAATTTCAATTAGATTTCTAGCAAGTTTTAGTCATACTCTTTTTTTTTAATTAGAAAAAAAACCCATACATTTTACATAAAAAGACAAATGCCTAGAATAGCCAATAAAATCTTTAAAATGAATGATGGGGAGATTTTCTTTACAATTTAAAAATACCCTGTAAAGCTACTGAAATTAAAACATGTCTTTAGCATAGTCCATGACAAAAAAAGTTAGTTCAATTTAATGAAATAAGAATGTATTTTTTATTGAAAATTCATACACTATATTCTGATCATGTTTTCCCCTCCAACATCTCCTTCCAGATCCCATCCAACTCTGCACCTTTTTTTCTCTCTCTTTAGAAAACAGGCAAATAAAAAAGGGAGACAAGCCAGGCGGTGGCAGCACGTGCCTTTAATCATCTCTGGGGAGGCAGAGGCAGGTGGGTCTTTGTGAGTTCAAGGGCAGCCTGGTCTATGGGTTTCTGGGGAACAGTCAGAGCTACACAGAGAGACCCTGTCTTGAAAAACAAAACAAAACAAACAAACAAAAAATGGGTGGAGGTGGGGACAAACCAGAATTAAAACAAAACAAAACTCAGAACAAAATGAGAAAATAAGAAACACACAGACACACAAATGAAACCCATAAAAACACAAAATCCAAAATTGTATTATACAAGCAAAAGACCAGTAAGATTAAAAAAAAAAATCCAGACAAAGCAATATGAGACAAAAAACAGTTCACACAAACTTTGTTTTTACATTGGACATGGGTAGTTTGTATACCCAGTGAGACTGCATTGGAGAAAATGGATTCTTCCTTTACTAGCTGTCTGCTGGAGATAGAGACCCACAACTGCACAATGTGTAGAGCGTGAGTCTTTGGACTACTCAGTTCAAAATGGGATGTCTTCATCAAACCCCTCCCCTCAAGGCTCAAGGAGCTCTGCAGAAGAGGAGGTGGGAAGATAGTAAGAGGCAGAGGGGATGGATGACACCAAGGATGATATCACACCCAACTGCATATCTGAAAGACAATCTTTCTTGCATTATTCCTAGAGGTAAATTCCAGATGAGCATACCTCCGAAGGAAAACCTGAGAGACTGTGTTGTGTGTACTCATAAACCTCCCTTAGCCCCTTAGGGCACTCCATCTCCCATTTGTTTTCTGTTTTAGGACTGTTGAAGGGGAGAAGTCCTTGGTTATGGGGGCTTCTGGATCTCATCTTTGCATTTCTTTGCACAATGGCCTCTTCCTCAGGTTTGCTTCAGGGCTTTTGAGGGCTTTTTGTGTTGTTTTTCTTTCTAATACTAATGTTTTGAATCTAGGGCATTAGCATTTGAGGCAAGTATTCTGTCACTGGTGTATATTCTCAATCTCTCCTTTTACTTAATGTTTTTTGAGACAGGTCTTACTAAACTGCCTAGGCTGGCCTTGAATTCACTCAGAAGCAGAGGAGCTCTGTTGTCTAGGTGCTCATTCAACTACCTCTCAGGGTCCATCTTGTCATCTGATCTCACAATAGCTCAAAACACTTAGATAATGCTTTACAATTTATTTATATTTATATTTACTTCTTTGTGCTTGTGTGTATCTGTGTGGGGGTATGTACATGGGAATGCAGGTGCTTCTTGTAGAGACCAGAAGAGGGCATTGGATTCCCTTGAACTGAAGCTATGGGAAGGGAACCACTGATGCAGGTGCTGCAGATTGAACTCAGGTTCTCTGGAAGAGTAGAAAGCACTCCTAACCTCTGAGCCATCTCTTCAGCCTCTCTAGATAAAGTTTTTATTTTTCCAAAACAACTTGTTTTTTAGAATTAATGTGTTGCAGCCCATTTTATTATGTGCCTTGTATAAATTTTTTACTTTTTTTTATATTAGCAATAAGGATAATTTGACATGCATGTCTATTTTGTCTTTTCAGGTGCCATTTGGATAGTACTTTAGCGGCACAATGTACTCTGAGTGGCGGTCACTGCATTTGGTGATTCAGAATGATCAAGGCCATACCAGTGTGCTACACAGCTATCCAGAGAGTGTTGGGCGAGAGGTGGCGAATGCAGTGGTCCGTCCTCTTGGGCAGGCATTAGGTACCTCTTCAGTGTCTGGTAGTGAGAGTTTGTTAAAAACTGACAAAGAAGTAAGTGTTTCTTTATTTCATTCTATTGTGTGAAAATATGAATTGTTCATTAAAAATTTTATTTAGTGTTGACCTTTTAAAAATAGTTAGCAATGGTTTTATTATTGTTAATTTTGTATACGTATGTAAGTCTGTGCCTGTGGAAGTTAGTGTTGTTGGATCCTTTTGCAGCTGGAGTTAGGGGCAGTTGTGAGCATAGGGCCTGGTTGATGGGTATCAACCTTGGGTCTTCTGCAGGAGCAGTATGCACTATTACCATGCTGACTTTTTAATGGTTGCTGCCTGATGTAGTGAGTTCTAGTTTTTATCTCATTTGAGTTACATGCTGGGACTTGGGGCCTATGGGAGAGATATAAAGAAGGGGTTTTAACTTTCTGCTGCTGATGCTTCACACTGGCCACACCTAGTTCTCCATTTGAGCTAAGTGGTCAAGACAGTCATGTGTCAGACTCTTAAGCCCTAGGCTCAGTCTTCAGATTTTTGTTTCTGTTTGGAAGTTCCTGTCCTAGTTAGGGATATTCTTGTTGTGATGAAACACATGGCCAAAAGCAACTTGAAGAAGAAAGAGTTTATTTGGCCTGCATATCCAGAGCCACAGTCCATTGAGGAAAACCAAGGCTGGAACTCAAACAGGGCAGGAACCTGGAGGAATGCTGCTCACTGACTTGCTCATCATGGCTTACTCAGCATACTTTTCTACAGAACCTGGGACCACCAGCCTAGGGGTGGCACCACCCCCAGAGGTGGGCCCTCTCCCATCAATCACAAATTAAGAAAATGTTCCACAGGCTTGCTTACAGCCCAAACTTGGAAACATTTCTCAACCAAGGTTCCCTCCGTGAATATGACACACTATATAGCTTGTGTCAAGTTGATATAAAACTTGCCAGCATAGTTCCCCTCTCTGTTTATAAGTAGCCACTGACTGAAAGCCTCACTTAGGTCAGATTTTCTGGCTACACATATGTTCTAAGCTTGAGCTCTCCTGTGTCCTTCACTCTGACTGTTTTAGCCTGACTTCAGGGTTCAAGTGCTGCAAAAGACCAGGTGGTTGGAATTGGGTTTGGAATTGCTATTCCTAAACTTGCTGTCCAAAGGGATCTTGGGATAACTTGTCAGGGATATAGTTTTCTGTTCATGGGGTCAGGGCACTAAGATGACATTAAACCTTAGTGGGAAGTTCAAAAGGAACCCTGAGAATGGTGTGATTCTCTGAAAGTTTAGAACTCGGTCCTAAGGATTATGCAGAGCTTATACAGACTTTTTCGGTCTGTTCTCATGACCCCTCGCCCTGCTCTTTTTTTGTGACAAGGTTTCACTGTATGTTCTTGGCTAGCCTAAAATTCACTTTGTAGACCAGACTGGACTTGACTTGCAAAGATCCACTTGCCTCTGCCTCCCATGCAGCATCAACCACCTAAATAAGAATTTTGACAAGAGAGGCTGGTGGTGTAGCTCAGGAGTAGAGTGCTTCCCTGCTGTACTTTGGACCCTGGGTTTAATCCCTAGCACCACAAAACAGCAGCAGTGTCATAAATCACCTTTTGGGGTGACTTTTGTCATGGTCCGGCCACGTGGAATTGTACATTCCAGGGTAGGGGCATGAGGATTAGAAATACTAGGTAGGAGGAACAGAGACATAGGAACAGAGACTGAATAGGATAGTTCTGAGTTCTGAGTTTAATTTTCATATGCTTTTATACCCCAATACAAAAGGGGGGGGAGAAGGCAAACGGCTGCTTTAACATGACACAAAGGACAACCAGAACAGTTATTTGTTTCAATACTTGAGACATCAAGCCATTATTTCCTGAGTAAAGCATTTGGTGTTTGGGTAGGATATACTCTAGACCAAGTACCCTGTAGGTGGCCACTCCCTCTGTCAAGCCTCCTATTTTAAATGAAGGAGCACAGGAGTGTGCTTGAATTCTCTGACCTTTGGTCAGGGTGGAACAGATCCATTTGTGTGAGCCATCTTAACGTCCAAAACACAAGTAACCCCACCCTGGGTCAGGATATCTTGTTTTGTAGCCATATCTGTTGTCAACAACTTTGAAAGAGTAAAAACTCAAGCTCAAACTCCTTGACCTTCAGACAAAGTAGAAAAGGCTCACACTTCTGGTTCCCCACACAGCAACCACATCTGGAACTTGGTATGGCCTTTGGTAAGCTAGTGGCCTTATCCAACCCCCCCCCCCTCTCAAATTTCAGAACCACTATCTTGATACTGTCTTGTGTAGTATTTTGATTGCTTATAAGTCTGGCCATTCTATAACCCATAGGATACCCCTATTCCAGAAACATTCGCTAGTGGATTGGTGAAACACTTCAAAACTGGTGGTTTGAAAACTAGGTTTATGTTTCTTATTGAAGATAAGATTTGTCTTTAGCTTCACTATTTGTAAACCAGTGGTGTGCTCAATTATTTAAACATCCTAAATTTTATTTTTTTGATGTATGAAATGAGGCCCGTTTACCCTGTTACTCCAAGGTTATTGTGGTGGTGACATTTATGAAGATACTGTTTTTAACTGCGAAGACTGTGTAGTTGTTGCTCTCTTCAAAGTAAGACTTAGTGAAGTTTATCTGGGTTGATGTGGTCTTTTTGAGCAGGCTGGTTCTCAGTGATCATGCATCCTTTTTGTTAAGTGTTTACTGATCATCTACTTAGTATTTGTCCCAGATTTTTGTCTGGAATTCACTTAAATTTTCTAGGCTTTGGTATCTAAGAATATAGTTTCATTTTCTTTTCCAAATTGGGAGATTTTTTTCTTTCTCTTAGCATCTTATTATTCACAGCACAAACAAGTAAGTGTTTCAGGTGGTCAGTTTAATTACGTACAGCTAGATGCCTGGTTAAGACCTTACCCATTCAATCCCTCTTTACCTGTGTGTGTGCTTACCTGTCCATTTTAGTGTTTTTTTGACAGAGAAAACAAGTTGTATAATAAGTTGAATGATTCATCTTCCTTCCTGTCATTTGTTCCTATTGCATAATCTGAGGATGAAATGTAATTGAATTTATATATTTGATTTCTTAAATGACACATATTTACATATGCAAATCGAGCAAATTCTACATTTTCTATTTTTCTATTCTTAGTATCTGTAGAAAATTGAAAAGATCATATCACAGAGTGAATGGTAATGATATCAAAAGGGTAAAAGCATGTAAAGGCTTAATATTTAAAAATAATGAATTTACTTTCTGAAATTTGCTTGAAAAGTATGACATGAATATGTCTAATACATAGAAAGTATGTGTCTAGAATAAATTTTCTGTATTTTCAATTTAAAGCATCTGGGTACTAGGAGATGTTATATTTTAAACTAATCTAGTGAAATACATATAAAGATCTATATTCTTTGTAAATGTTTTCTTTTGCTTAGGTAAAATGGACTATGGAAGTAATTTGCTATGGACTGACCCTTCCATTGGATGGAGAGACTGTAAAATATTGTGTTGATGTATATACAGATTGGATTATGGCTTTGGTATTGCCTAAAGATTCTATTCCATTACCAGTTAGTAAAGAGCCTAATCTATATGTTCAAAGTATATTAAAGCACCTACAAAATCTTTTTGTACCAAGGTAAGTTATACCTATATGGTCATTACTAAGATAATAATAAAGTATTTGTAAATGTTACTTTATTAAATATAGATGTTGATTTTATTGTTCGTCCTTTGAACTTTACTCATTCACTTATGGGTTCGATTAATTTGACTAAAGTAGATAGGGTTACATAATGTTTCACAGGAGGTTTTTGCTTTTTTTTTTTTTTTTTTTTGAGATGACGTCTCATTGTGTAGCTCAGATTGGTCTTGAACTTTCTATGTAGTCCATATTGAGCCAAATTTATAATCCTCCTGTCTTAGTCTTTTGAGTTCTGAGATTATAGGTGTGCTCTACCACTTTTGGATTTACCACAATTTTTAATAGATGTATTTTTATTTTAAATACTTTTTGGCCTTGTTAGTGAACTCTAGATGTTGGATATTAAAATGTGGTGATGGTGACATATTGTTAAACTTTTCTTTTTTGGGTTGTGGGGGGACTTGCGTGATGACTCAGTGGTTAAGGTTAAAGGTGCTGGCCACTAAGCCCAGTGATCAGAGTTTGATCTCTGGGACCCATATGGTGGAAGGAGAGAAGGACACTTGTGGATGTCTTCTGACCTTCACGTGTACTTCATGGTATATATGCACACACATGCACACCAATTAAATATTTAAAAATACACCCAACTTGTGCATATTTTTGTTATATCATAATTCTTGTCTCCACATACAACCGAAGCAACTGTTCTTCCCTTAAATAACCCTGTAGTGTATGAAATCATAGAATTAAGCAAACAGGCCAGGCATGGTGGCTCATGCCTATAATCCCAGCACTTTAGAGGTGGAGTCAACATCAGGAGTTGAATATAGCCTTGTCTACAGAAGTAGTTGAACACCAACCTGAACTACATCATGGGATACTGTCTTAAACCAAAAAAGACTGATGAGATAGGTCAGTGGGTAAAGATGCTTGTCACCAAGCCTGATGACCTGAGTTCAATTCTTGGAGTCTACTTGGAGAAGGAGAAAACTGACTGCTGCCAGTTGTCCCCTGACTTTCACATGAGTGACATGCATGTAAATATCCATCCCCACCCCACATATATACAAGTGTAAAATTTTGAAATTAAAAGTTTGAAATAAAGTTTAAAATCTCCTTTAAAGAAGCAAGCTAACTAAAAAGAAAAAAGAAATAAAGACGTTGGATATTTTTTTGAGATTAAGTTTTACTGTGTATCCTTGGCCTGAAACTCACTAAGTAGGTCAAGCTGACCTTGAACTCATAGAGACTACAGGCCTACATCTCCCAAGTGCTGGGATTAAACTTGTGTGCCCTAACATCTGGTTAGCAAACTGGAAGTTACAGATATTTATGATAAACCAAAAGATTACCCTTGAAAGTTTGTTATTAATTTCTTCTCCATCTTCTGAGGCAAAGGTGTTAAATGCCAAAATGCAAGTTATTTATCTTACTTGATTTTTTTTCCTAATTGTTAAGAATGTTACATTCCAACCCGGTGTGGTGACTCCTGCATTTAATCCCAAAATTCATAAGGCAGAATCAAGTGGATCTCTGTGAGCTGGAGGCAATCCTGTTCTGTAGAGTGAGTTCCAGGATTGCCAGGGCTACATAGAGAGACCTGTTTTAAAAAGCAAAAACAAACAAATAACAAAAGAATATTACATTCTGAGGCTAAAGCTGCAGCTCAGTCAAACTATTTACCTGCATACCCAAGAGCTGTGGGTTCCATCCTTAGTGTCACCGAGAAATGTGTATAACCTATGGTAGATCTTTGAGAAATACAGAAATATGTGTGTAAAAAAAATAATAATAATAAAATAAAAGCAGTAGTTTCCCACCAGTTCATGAGAGTGTTTTCGGCTGTTTTGTGCTTGTCAAAGAGGCTGTGGGGCTCATCTCCTTTTGGAAAAGTTTTTACTAGCGCTTTCAATCTATCTGAAGGACTTTGAATTACTCAAAAACCAGCTCTTTAAATTTAAATTTTTTAGCTTTGTAAATTTAGAAGGAAGTTTTTGTTTTAGAAAATCCAAATTGAAAAAGAGAAGTCTGTTAGAACTCTGTTCTGTGGGTCAGATATAAACTCCCCCATAAAAAGTGCCATCTAGGGCCTTCTGGTCCTAACTAGACTAGCCACAGCTGATTTTGTATGAGTCCTACTCTGTAGTCAGACTTGTAAAGATTCCCCTAAGTGCCCTCAAAGCTCTTTCCTGTCTTCACCCATCCTCCTGTCATTTTCTTTCTCCCTTGTCTATTGCTTGTCTAACTCACTCTTTGTGGTTTCCAGTCAGTTCTGTCTTAGAATCCTTACATGATCACACAACCCCTCTGTGGTCACACCTCCTTGGAATTCGCTTGGTATTTCCCATCTTACTCTCTTATCGCTCATTGTTTTGTTCCATATCCTTTAACTTGTTTTGTTTTCCATCTAACCAACTTGAAGACAGGAACTCAGCCGGCCCTCTGTATTTGGGGGGCATCTACACTAAGTATAATGCAGTACTGGGTTTAGATATGGATTAAATGTTTGTTGCTTGTATTCGTTGACCTTAAATGGAAACAACAGGAGATGTTTATTTGCAGCTAAACAGGCTCCTCTAAAATGATACAGATCTTTTTTTGACATCCCATCAGAATTGATTTACAGTATTTTTCACTGTGTGTATGAAATGGTCCTGTTTGAAAGTTAGTCCCTATGTCTCTCTTATGTCTTTCGCTTTACCATCTTTTAATTCTGAGTTTGTATTGCTGAAAAGCAGTAATGGCATTTGGATAAATTGTGCTTTTGTTTTTACTTTTCCCTCTTGAAAAGTATGACTATAAATTTTTTTACTAATTGTTCCTCGGGAGTGTGTGTGCATACAGGTCAGTGAATTCTGAAAGGCACTAATTTTAGTAGAGTTCTCTTGGCCAGTGATAGTATATGAAGATTAGGTGAATGTTTTCAATGCTGTATATTGGAACTTCTGATATAATCTTCAACTGCTAGAAGTTTCAGTTTAAAAAATTTAATAGATAGTTCATCAAATTGTTATCAGAGCTTACTTAGTTCTTTTTATATAAACTGAGTCTCAAAATGGAGGAAATTGCCTTAACCTTTTGCTAGAGATTAAGTTAATGTGACTTTCTCTTTTGTCTTTTTGTCTGGTATTTTTTTCATAATTGAGTGAAGAATGTACTATCTCTTCAAATTGATTGTAGTTTTAATTGCTTAGCTATACTGCACTATAAGAAATGTAGTCCTCCATCCATGTGTACATGTCTCTTAAAGCAGTGATTCATAATTTTGTTTTTGTAAAAAGCTAGCTAGTGAAAATTTCCTATATTACAGGCCATATGGTGGTGTAACTCCTCAACTGTGTGATAGAGCAGAAAAGTGGTCATAGACTATTAAATTAAGAAATAAGAACTTTACTTAGGTGCTTGGGAGATGGCTCAGCAGTTAAGTACACTGACAGCTCTTCTAGAAGACCTGGGTTTGATCCTAGCACCTCCACATGGTGATTCACAACCATCTGTAACTCTCATCCAGAGTATCTAATGCATTCTTCTGGCTCTGTGGGCAATGTAAATACTTGGTACACAAACAGGCAGAATGCCTGCATAAAAATAAGTAAGTAAATAAAAAATAGTGTTACAAAGGCAGGTGTAGTCAAGTTCTGTATGGTGATTTGTGGACTAGTTTCACCTTTAGATGAATGTGGAATGGAATGGACACCTGCCTCTCTATATGTTTGATGCATGCATAAGTGTGAGTGCACCCACCTCCAGAGGTCAGAGGAGAAAATTGGGTGTCTTTATTACTCTGCCTTATTCCCTTGAGACAGGGACTTTTGTGAACCAGAAACTTGCTATTTCAGCTAAGTTGCCTGGCTAGTGAGCTTCCAGAATCCACTGTCTTCACCCTATATAGTATTGGAGTTACAGGTATACACAGCCATGCCCAGCTTTCTTTGTGGGTGCTAGGGATTCAAACTTAAGTCCTTAGGGTTCGAACTTAGGTCCTCTTATGATTGTACAGTGAATGATCATGCCTATTGAGCCATCTCTCTGGTCCAGCTTTGACTTCTTTAGGGAACATTTAGTTATTTAGATGTATCATTTGTCTGCAACTTTAAGGTAGGATCCAGTTTTCTGGGTCATGGCTAAGGCTTAAGGAGTGGGAGTTTTATGAGTATATGATCTGCTGACATTCTTTTAGGACACTCCAGCTTTTTGCGTCAAGTCACAATTTATAGAAACTTGACTTTAGAGTTTATATCAGTATTGTGTTGAGTTTATCATGAGAAAGCTGAATGCCAGCTCATCAGTAATTAAAGCCATTCTTGAAATTCTCAGGTGGGACATCTTAGAAATTGAGGCAAGGGCTACTAGGCCCTAGATTCTCTAGCTTCTCTTCTACCTATTTTAAGGAACAGTTGTTTCCCCCCATCCCCTCTCTGTCTTTTAAGACATGGTCTTAACTCTATGTAGCTCTGGCTGTCCTGGAATTCACTCTGTAGACCAGGCTGGCCTTGAACTCATAGAGATCCACTTGCCTCTGCCTCCCTAGTTCTGATATTAAAGACATGTGCCCCCACTTCACCCAGCAAGTCTTTTCTTGAGCAAAAATGTCCTACAGACTAAAGAGAATTTTGTACCTGTTGTTTGAGGTACCCTTGGATCCCTTTGGAATGCCTGTGTTTTTATTAGAGCAGTAGTAGCAAGTGCTCTTCTCTGAGGAAATGCTGACATGTCTTGTCAATTTTGGACATGCCCTTGAGCCTTATAACAGATATCAGCTTTAGAGTAATTGTGAAAACTGTAAACACTTGAAGAATTCTTGTGAATGTGTTTTTCAGAAAATTTAAAAAGAATGTAAGGACTTTTCTGCTCTATGTACTCATCTAGCAGAAATTAGTTAAATATCTGCTATTATGTGCCAGACACATTTCAGAAAGAAAATCCAGAGGTGAAGTGTACATTCTAGTTTTTCTCTTTTCTCACAGGAGCTAATTTCTCACAGGAGAGGTAGGTGGAGCTCTCAGGGTGCTGAAGTGAGCAGTGGGAAAACTAGCTGTAACTGAGGAGAGTTGTGCTCAGTCCTGTCCACTGATGTTTAGGCAATGTCATTGGACCACTGTTCTGCGTCAATAAGTTTCCTGTTCTTTGGCTGTTGCTGTCTCTCTTCCAGGCCTGTCAGTGATATCTGTCTGTCTTCTTCAGACAGGAACAGGGCTCCAGTCAGATCCGACTATGCTTACAGGTTCTGAGAGCCATTCAGAAACTGGCCCGTGAGTCATCCATCATGGCTCGAGAAACCTGGGAAGTCTTACTGTTGTTTCTTCTGCAAATTAATGACATACTTCTGGCCCCACCAACTGTTCAAGGTTTGTTAATGAACTTTTTCCCCTTATATTTTTTAACTCCAAATATAGTTCTCATTTAAACTTAGTGAGTGATAGACTCTGTGGAATTTTTAGATTTTGGTAAAACTATTGACAAACCTAGTTACCAATTTATACTGGAAAGACACAATGTGGGCTGGCTGTAGTGACACATGCCTTTAATCCCAGAGCTCAGGAGGCAGAGGTAGATGGATCTGTGAGTTCAAGACCATCGTGATTTACATAGTGAGTTCCAGGCCAGCTAGGGTGACATAGTGAGACCCTGCCATAAAAAAAGAAAAAAGTCAGGCAGTGGTGACACGTACCTTTAATTGCAGCACTCAGGAGGCAGAGGCAGGTGGATCTCTCGGCTCAAGGCCAGCCAGGTCTACAGAGTGAGTTCCAGGACAGCCTGTCTCAAAAAAACAAAACAAAGAAGTTAGTATGTGTCTAAGTTATTTTACCTTCAGTGTTGTATTTTGCTAATGTAGAGAAGGACTTGTAATTAAACATATTGGAGAGGGATAGGAATAATAGCTTGTTCTGTGTAGTATAGAACCTTTATAGGAGACAGAAAATGCTAAATTAGGATCTATAGATAATGTACTAGATGAAAAAGTTGTTATCATAGTAAAGTATAAAAGCGTGATGGTGATGACAGTGAAATATCTTGGTTTTTCACCCTAAGGTACTTAAAGAAATGGCCCAAGGCCTTGCCCATGCCAAACACTTAACCACTGTGACTGAGCTCTACCTCCAGCCCACAAAACATCTTGTTAGGCAAATAAAATCTTCAAAATCTTAAGGTGTTTGCTTTGGAAGTATGACCTTTATTAGCTAGCCATTAAAAGCCTCTAGTTTTATTTACTTTTGCAGCATTTCAGAAGCCCTCCTTTGCATATTAAAACAGTATGCATAAACTCTAAGTTGATATTTGAGTTCCAGGTTCTGTTGTCCTAATTCTCTTGATATTCTCTCTACTAACATAAGTTAGCATGCTTGTTTTGTCAGATCGATGCAGTGACCAAGGGAATGTTTAAAAGGAATCATGGAATTATAATGTGGGAAAGGACCCACGATAGGAATACTATCTCATTTTGACAGTAGCTTCCCAGTCACAGCACTGTTTCATTGGCTCTCTGCTATTGGTTCCCCATGCCAGTGACTGATCTCAGAAGTGTGAGTCAGGCAACTTTCTCCCTCCTTGGGTTCTTTATTATTGGAACTTTGGTTTTTGTTTGTTTGGTATGCACCTTCTAATTACTTTTTCTTCTAGTCCTAACTTTACTTTCTTGAGCTGTGCAAAGTAAAGTCCACCTCCCCTTCTGGTTTCAGACTTTGACTAGAAGGACAGCTCTGGGTTCTGTTGAAGGTTTGCCCTTGTCTGGTGCCATAGCTTAGCTTTCCTTTTGTTGCTCTCCAGTCAGGGGCAACTTAAAGCACCTGGAGCATTTTGTTGCAAACTTTGGAGTCAGGAAGACCTTGGTATTTGTTCTGATTCCTTTTTTATTAGCTGATGGAGTGGGGACATACCGAAAGGTGTCTCAGACCTATAATCCCAGTACTGGAAAGATGGAAGCAGAAAGATTGGAAGTTCAGGGTTATCCTTTGCTACATAGTTAAGTTCCAGGTTAACTTGAGTTACATTACAGGACTGTGTTTTTAAACAAAAAGCTAATAGGTATTTACCAATACCTGTCCTGAAGAAACAAATGAGAGATTACGTGGTCATGTGTAAAGTGCTTGGCATGAAAGGTGACTTGTAGTGGTCACTCATTGTTAGCATGCCTCTTTTCCTTTCTTTTGTTTTCCCCTAGCTGGAACCTTAAGATCTGCACTAAAACTTAGCAGGGCAATTTGAAAATTCTCAAAAAGTAGTTATTGATATTCTCTGTGATTCCTTCATAGGAGCTTGCTTCTAAGCTTCTCCATGTAATTATTCAGAAACTTGGTATTAACATTACAGCTATTTAAGTTTTGATCAGTTTTCCCGTATAATGATTGAGTCGTATTAAAAATAAGTATACCAAAGATATGTTTCTTTTCATTGGCCAGGTGGCATTGCTGAAAATCTAGCAGAGAAGTTGATTGGTGTTCTTTTTGAAGTTTGGTTATTAGCTTGCACCCGGTGCTTCCCAACACCTCCTTATTGGAAGACAGCCAAGGAGATGGTGGCTAACTGGAGGCACCACCCAGCAGTGGTGGAGCAGTGGAGCAAGGTCATCTGTGCACTTACTTCCAGGTAGGTCATTTTCTTCCTCATCCTTCTGACCTTGGGGCAATTCTTCTCTGGTTCTGTGTCTTATGGGGTTCATGGAATGTATTTTGGAAAACCTGGACCCATCATTATTGTACTTTATAGACTGAGCCAATTTAAAAGAAAGATATCAGGGAGATGGCTCATGGTAGAGGCACTTGTCATGTATGCCTCACAACCTGAGTTTAATCCCCACAACCCATGTAAAGGTGAAAGAAGAGAACAGATTCCAGAGCTGTCCTCTGATCCCCTCATCATGGTATGTCATGGTGATGGCTAATACTGTGTCTTCTTTTAGTGAGTTTTGATGCAAAAGCCTATATGTGCTGATAATAGAAAAACTGGAAAATGTAGAGTGAAAGAAACACCCCATCACTTAAAAATGTTTTTATTTTTAAATATTTATTTATTATGTATATAATATTCTGTCTGCATATATGCCTGCAGGCCAGAAGAGGGCAACAGATCTCATTACAGATGGTTGTGAGCCACCATGTGGTTGCTGGAATTGAACTCAGGACCTTTGGAAGAGCAGGCAATACTCTTAACCGCTGAGCCATCTCTCCAGCCCTTAAAACATCTTTTTTTTTTTTTTAATTTTTATTTATTTACTATGTATACAATATTCTGTCTGTGTGTATGCCTGCAGGCCAGAAAAGGGCACCAGACCTCATTACAGATGGTTGTGAGCCACCATGTGGTTGCCGGGAATTGAACTCAGGACCTTTGGAAGAGCAGGCAATGCTCTTAACCGCTGATCCATCTCTCCAGCCCGAATTCAGTTAACTTTTATATTAAAATTATAAAAATGTGCTATAGTCTAAACATATAAATACTAAATTCTGAACTTCATGTAAAGTTGTGAATGAATTATACCTTAGTTGTATTGAAGGATTTAAAGTGATATCAGTTTTTAAAAAATAAGAGAAATTGGTGTGGTAGCATACACATTTAATCCTAGCATTCAGGAGGAAGGAGCCCGCAGATCTCTTGAGTTTGAGTCCAGCCTGGTCTCCATATTGAGTTCCATACCAACCAGAGCTACATAGTAAGACCCTGCCTCAAAACCAACACAAAACCCACAACTCTCCTAACAAAACAACAGGAAAAAAAAAATCTATATACTACTTCTATGTTTAATGATGTAATTATGTAGGTACAATAACAAAAATACATAATTTATTATTTGCAAGTAATATAAATAATAAGTTAAATAGTGTGAGTATTTCAGATAAAAGTTTAAATCATCATCTTTTTTTTTTTTTTTTTTTTTTTTTTTTTGGTTTTTTGAGACAGGGTTTCTCTGTGGCTTTGGAGCCTGTCCTGGAACTAGCTCTTGTAGACCAGGCTGGCCTCACACTCACAGAAATCCCCCTGCCTCTGCCTCCTGTGCTGGGATTAAAGGCGTGCACCACCACCACCTGGCTTAAATCAGGGCTGGTGAGATGGCTCAGCAGTTAAGACTTAACTGCTTTTCCAGAGGACCCAGGTTTGATTCTCAGCACCCACATGGCAGCTCACAACTGTCTATAAATCCAGTTCTAGAGAACCTGACACCAATTATACCAATGCACATAAAATAAAGTTTAATAAATTAAAAGCTGGAAATCCCTTGCAGTTTGTAATTTTTACAAATCAGGGTTTTCATATAGCTGAGGTATCTTTAATCTATTTTCTCATGTATTGGTTGAATGTATGTTTAATCTTGTTAATGGATTTGGTAGAAGAACCTGATGGTACAGGAATTTTTTTTTTTTTGGTTTTTCGAGACAGGGTTTCTCTGTGGTTTTGGTTCCTGTCCTGGTACTAGCTCTTGTAGACCAGGCTGGTCTCGAACTCACAGAGATCCGCCTGCCTCTGCCTCCCGAGTGCCAGGACTATAACCTTTGTTCATTAGGAAGAAACGATAGGATCAGAAATTCATGGCCAACTTCTGCAATTTTGTGAGATCTTGTCTCAAAATAAAATATTAAAGCGGGTTGGGATTAAATTAAATTAAAATAGCTCAGTGTTAGAATGCTTGACTGGAATGTTTGAACTAGGTTCAATCCTCAGTACTATCAAAAGGTATTGTTGTCAAATCTTTAGAGACTTCACCAAAACAAAATCCTGAAAGTGGTGTGTGGCTTTATTTTCCAGATTGCTCCGCTTTACATACGGCCCTTCATTTCCTCCGTTTAAAGTTCCTGATGAAGATGCCAACCTGATCCCTCCAGAAATGGACAATGAGTGTGTTGCACAAACATGGTTTCGATTTTTGCACATGTTAAGGTATTGTCATGTTGTTTCATGTGTTCTTTACCCAGTAAGTGTCTTAGGGCAAGAGCCACACTGCTTCTTTTGGAATGTGTCATGTGAGTGCTAAGTGTAGTCCATTGGATGGAGCTGAACTGAACAGTATACATGTCTGCATTGTGATGCATGTCTGCATTGTGATGCATGTCTGCATTGTGATGCATGTCTGCATTGTGATGCATGTCTGCATTGTGATGCATGTCTGCATTGTGCATCTCCTGCTCTCCATTCCTGTGTGGTTGGGTTGCCCTCAGCTATTACTGGAACCCTCTCTAGAAACTTGTTTTGTTGCATCTTAGATGATGATGTCTTTCCCAGGACTTTGTCAGACCTTTAGAGACTTCACCATGTTCCTCTCTGTCAGTACTGGTTCATCAGTCTTGATCTCAGTGCCCTCCTCTTGCAGCCTCGTTTAAAATTTCACTGAAAAGTAGACCTTAAGTTTCACAGAATAGTAAATTTCCCTCCTCTCCTGTGATTTCTTTTTAAAAAATGACATTTATTTATTGTGTGTGTATTAAGATGTGTGTGTGGATGCAGATACATGTGCCATGGCACATGTATGAAGCCCCAAAGCCAATCTTGTAAAGTTGGTTCTCTTACTTTAAGTGGATCCTGTGAATTGAAATTAGGTTATCATGGTTGCATCATCTAGTGTAGGCAAGTGCTTTAGCCCACAATCATCTCATTGGCTCAATAGAATAAAAATTTTAGATATATCTAGGATTCACTTTTAATTTTTTTAAAAAAATTTTTATTTATATTTATGTGTGTGTATCTCTGTGTATGAGTGTATGCTGTGTATTTGGGTACTCTCAAATGCCAAAAGAAAGCATCATATCCACAGAAATGGAGTTACGGGAGGTTGTGAGTCACAATGTGGATGCTGGGAACCAAACTCTAGTCTTCTGGAAGAGCAGTATACACTCTTGACCATTAAGCATCTCTCCAGCCTCTTTTTAAACATTTTGTTTATTTGGTGCTAGGAATTGAACTAGGGTTTGCACATACTAAGTATCTAGTCTACCACTTAGACATACTTCCCTTCTTTATTTATTGTTTTGAGGCTGGGCCTTGCTGTGTAGCTCAGGCTGGCCTGGAACTTACTTTCCTTACCTTAGCTTTCTGAGTACTGGGGTTAAGCCACTATGCTCAATTCCTTTAGCCATTGACTTTTGGGGATTATGTATTCTAGGGTGTAGTCTCTGGATCAATGTCGTCGATTAAACTGTTTTGTGTCAGTGAATGTTTACCCCTATTTCATACCTAAGTAAATTCTTGAGAACTCTTACTAGACTCTCGTGGCTTCTAGTTACAACTTTGCAGTCCTCTTAAGAATCTTACATAGCTAACAGAAGTATATTATTCACAAAATTTGCATATTTCTTATCCCATTATTTGTAAGTATTGCTGAGATAGTGGGAAGCTAGCCTTTTTTATGTTGCTATAGCCTTATATGAAGCAGGAGCATCACAAATTTGAAGCCAGTATAGGAGATGAAGTGAGTTTCACACTAGTCTATAATTTATTAATAAGACCCTGATTCCAGGCTGGGCGGTGGTGACACATGCCTTTAATCCCAGCATCCAGGAGGCAGAGGCAGGTGGATCTCTGTGAGTTTGAGGCCAGCCTGGTCTACAGAGTAAGTTCCAGGACTGCCAGGGCTGTTACACAGAGTAACCCTGTCTCGAGAAAACAAAACAAAGCAAAAAACGGTAAAAAAAAAAAAAAACCCAAAAGACCCGGTTTCCAATAAAAAATTTCTTTTAATTAAAAAATTGTTGCATATTTTCTACTTTCTTCATTCCTAATTGGTCTATTAGGCTTTAGCATTGTTCTTGGGATAATACTGATGTCTGATGTTTTAGTTAGAGTTTGTTTCCTTATAAATAGTAGAAACCTGGATAGCAAATGGAAGGGAGGTTACTGTGAATCCATGGAGAGCCCTCATTAAACTCTCAGAAGCAGCTGGGGAAGGCTATGTTATTCTTTAATCAAGAAGACTCATACTTCCCTTTCTCAGTTTTCTTACTTCTCTAGTATGTACATGCTATCTCTGGTAGACTGTTTCCCCAGTTTCTGACTCCTCCTGCCTTTCAGGAGTATGTGATTCAATGGTATGAATGACTATGAACACTGTGTGGCTCCAGTTCTAGCTCTTTTAGGTTACTAGGGTGTTCCTTTTGCTCAGACTTTCAAAAACAGGTGCACTAGACCAAATTACTTTTGTTAATTAGGCTAAAGTACACACACACACACCCGTGTTGAGATTAAAGATGTGCACCACCACCATCCAGCAGAAAAAAATATTCTAAAAAGTTAAAACTTTCTTGCTTTACTTTGATTTTCATTCTATGAAGAGAATATGTTAAAAAGAACACCTTTAAACCCAGCACTTAGGAGGAAGGATCAGGAAGGCAGAGGCTAGGCAGCAGACAGAACTGGACCTGTAAGTTCAAGGCCAGCATGGTCTGTGTAGCCAGCGATACATAATGAGGCCCTGTCTCAACAACAAATAAACAAAAGCATTTTATTAAATTCTCAAAGAATTAATGAAAACATTATTAAAAAAATAAATGAACAAAGAAAATCCGCAAGCCTATGGAGAAACATTCATGTTTTAGTTCTGAGCTCATCAAATAGTCAGTTTCATCTTCACCACACACAAGTATAAATTGTCCTGTTCTTTTCTTGTTGTTTTGTTTTTTTGTTTTTGAGACAGCCTCTCTCTCTATAGTCCTGGCTGTCCTGGAATTAACTCAGGCTGGCTCCAAACTCACAGAGATCTGTGTGTCCCTGTCTCTCAAGTGATGGGATTAAAGGTGTGTCCTAGCATGTCTGGGTGATAGTCCTAATTCTTAAATTAGATTGCATGCATTTTTATTGCTATAGACATTTCTAAGTATGTAATGAATTCTTTCTTCTTTTCTGTAGTAATCCTGTGGATCTGAGTAATCCAGCCATTATAAGCTCAACCCCCAAGTTTCAGGAGCAGTTCCTGAGTGTGAGTGGAATGCCACAGGAGCTGAGCCAGTACCCCTGCCTTAAACATCTGCCTCAGATATTCTTTCGTGCCATGCGTGGAATCAGCTGTCTGGTGGATGCATTTTTAGGTGAATTTTGTGTATATTTCTTAGATGTTTGAAGAGCTATGTGTAAATGTCTACAGTTTAATGCTGGAAGCTCTCAGGAAAGCCCGAAGAAAGAGGAACAAACTTACTGGCAAATAATGATCTAGGAAAAATTGTTTGCAGGGAATTGTGATAGCTGGAATGCTATTGTCTTTATGTAAATCAAACAGAAATGCTATGGAAAGACAGTAGCTTAGTAGAAAGATGGAGAAAAGACCCCCAAAATGTGCAAAACAGATTATAGATTGCAAAACTCATTCCACGAGTTGCCCACAAAAATCATTTAAAATGCTCAACTGACTATTTTCATTGGTACTCTGTACCTTTTGTGAACCAGTGTTTTAGTTTATCATAGGTAGGATGCACAAATCTTGTATCTTTTTGTGTGTGTGTGTGTGTGTGTGTCTGTAGCTTTGGAGCCTATCCTGGAACTAACTCTTGTAGATCAGACTGGCCTCGAACTCACAGAGATCTGCCTACCTCTAGGATTAAAGGCGTGCGCCACCACCGCCTGGCCCTTTTGTGTATTTTTAATCTGTTGAAAAAGAGTGATATTAATAGTTGTTATTTTCTAAAATGGTTGGTATGTGTATATGTTAAATGTATCACACAGTGTAGAGGGTTTTTCCTCTGTCATGAAATCTTTGTTTTTTTGGTGGTAAGTGCATAAAAATATGCACATATTTTGATAGTGAAAATGTAAAATGCAGTGAGAGGCTCTAGACTGAGTGCACAGAATGGCTGGATGGTTATTGAGATATGCAGACTTTGGTTGCAGGTTAATTCTGTTTAATTTGCTTGTTTGGTTGTTTTTTTGAGACAGGGTTTCTCTAGTAGTCCTAGCTGTCCTGGAGCTCCTTCTGTAGACCAGGCTGGCCTTGAACTCACAGAGATCTGCCTGCCTCTGCCTCCCTAAGGCTGGGTTTAAAAATGTGTGCCACCACCACTCCAAGGTGTGTATTGTTTTTATTTGCCATTTTTTAAGTAATAAAATTTATTAAAATTTTTAAAAATAGAAAAAACATAGTTAATAGGCTTGTTCTGATTAGATTGCTGGCACATCAGAGCCTATGCTCTCCGTGTTTGACACCTAAGGTTGTTTTCACAAGTATGAAGCAGGCCGGGCAGTATGGTTGCTGTAGTAGTTTCTTTTCTGTCAGGGATCAAGGTCTTTCTGTGGGGCCCTTGTCCATTTTGTTGTGTATGTCCTCATAGGCCTTCAAGTATGAGGAGCCCAGCACCCAGGAGTCAGGAAGGAGAGGGAAGCCTGCTTGTCTTTTGTAACATTTCCTGGGAGATGTATCCAATAGTCACTTATTTCTAAGCTTAAACATGGCCACATCTTATGGTAAGGGAAGCTTAAAACTGTAGCCATTTCTTCTGGCTTCCTTGTTCAACTGAAATAGGGTTCTCTTATTTAGAAGAAAAGATATGTGGACCTTGGGAGGCAGATCCATTTTTCTTAAAAGCAAAGGCAAAACCTTTCTTTTATTATTATTTTTTTTTAAAGGCATTTCTCGACCGAGATCAGACAGCGCTCCCCCAACACCTGTGAATAGATTAAGTATGCCTCAGAGCACTGCTGTGAATACCACACCACCACATAACCGGAGGCACCGGGCTGTGACTGTGAATAAGGCCACCATGAAGACAACCGCGGTAAGAACGTTCAACATCGTTGTTTGCTTTATGAAGGTTAACTTTTACAAGCCCTGCCACTTTCTCCAATTTTTCATGACTGTAGACACTTACTTGTATTTTTCTGGTAGGTTACTACTGTTCACACCTCGAAAGTCCAGCACCAGGCATCCTCCACTTCTCCTCTGTCAAGTCCAAATCAGACTAGTTCAGAACCCAGGCCGCTGCCTGCCCCTCGCAGACCAAAGGTTAACAGCATCTTAAATCTCTTTGGATCGTGGTTATTTGATGCAGCATTTGTTCACTGCAAACTCCATAATGGAATAAACAGAGACAGCAGCATGACTGGTAAATATGCCCAGAAACTTAGAGTCATCATTCCCTTTCTGTTTCTTTCTCTTTAGTCTTTCCTACCTGCAAGATTAATATGGCTCTTGAAAAGCATCCTGTTTCTCACCAAGCAATCAATATATTGTGCTTAACCCCTTCCAGCTGAACTAATAGAAACTTGGGAACCTTTCCTATCTGTCTTTTTTTGTATACTTTATGAAGTTTGGCCCTTTGTCTGGTTTTATCCAGGGACACTTCAGGTTAACCACTTTTTGTTGAATCAAATTCCTTTTTGTAGGTGACCTGGAAATTCTCTTCATGTCAGCCAGGATAATAATAGATATTTAAACAAATATTTTACTCATTGAAATGTATTCTTAGATTTTTCACAGCCATTTAATCATCATTACATGTTAATATCAGGAATTTTCTGTTTTCTTCGTGGTAGTCTCTAACCTCTCAGGTTTTAGTCTAGAGAAAACATAATCTGCTCTGTTAACCCTGTAAAATTTGTAGAGTATTAATAAATCAACTTCAGTATCTTCATTAGATTTACTATAGAATAAAATTGTCTAAATGAAATTGGACGTATTTTGTCATCTTACTATTATGCTAGGAGCTAATGCCAGATGGATGGTGAGGCCGGGCAGAATGTTTTGAATGGTTATCATCTGTCTTGCACAGTTGAATAATAATAATGGCTGGCATTTATTGAGCTGCTGTTAGCATGTGCCAGGTCCCATGTTTATACAATAATGAGTATATTAGTTGTTTTCTAAAAATATACTTTTCTATAGGAGTTGGAGACAGATTGAGGTAAAAAGATTTCTGATAGTATTATTCTCTAGGGAGACTGTTGAATTCAGGGATAAAATTAACAGTGTTCATAAGGGTCTCTGTTTTTTCTCAGAAATTCATCTACAGCTAGGTTTATGCCTGTGAATATTCTATAAGTATAATTATTTTGGATGTTCTTATGAATCTTTTAAATAATTTAGAAAGGTTTTAAGTATGAAGATGTTATGAGATGTGAGGCTGCATGAGTGAGTTAGAGATTCTTTTGCTTGCTTTATTTTGTTCAAATTCAGTCACTTTATATTTTACCATTTCCACATTCATGAGCTTGATTAAATGATGAGTTTTAAAAAACCACTCATGGGTATATTTTCATTATTTATGTGCTATATATTTTAAATTTTCTGAACAATGTTTATCAGTTTATATGGTATTGTCCAGAGTGAGTCAGCTCTTTATTTATTTATTTATTTGTTTATTTATTTTGGTAAGTTATAGTTCTTACAACATTTCCTAGCTGTTGAGTATGGAGCTGTTGGCCTTGCAATCTCTGAATCTAGCATGGCTCAATCTGCTGCTTTCTGGAAGGCTAGTATAATGAGAATCTAGAGCTTTCTGTCTCTGGAGAGTTTGTTACAGCTTGGTTTGCTCACTGCACTAGAAGATAGAACCAGAATTCAAATAACAAGTAAGCAACATCTCACTTTCCCATCATTCTGAACCTTCTTCCTGGTGGAGAAAGGAGAGACGCTCCTCCTGACTATGTCCAGAGATGCTAAAGGGTGTTACATTATCCAGGACATTTGAGGTGTCCAAATAGTTAAAGTGGATTTAGAGTTCTCTTGGGTACCAGTCTTGAAGTCTTGGATGGGAGGTGGAGGGGTTGGGGTATTGTGTGTTTTCTATGTACTGGCTGTCATCAAGGAATTCTGCCATGCAGTTCACCTTTAACTCAAGTATTTGCTTCTTTGAACTTGTTAGCTTTCAATTTACCTGATGCACTATGCTTTGTAAAAGTAACATTGAGCTGGGAAGGGTTAATAAACTAAAAATTTTAATGCACGTTATGGGCAGTTCAAAACCTCAATTCTTTGTAGCTATGTAATTTTCTTTGTTCATTGTTTTGCATGATACAAAATCATAATTTTGGACCTGAATGCACAATTTCCTATGTTTTTGAATTAGCTTGTGGTATCATAAAACTTTAAATCTAACTTTTAAAAAGCTAAAAAGCTTCTTAATTTATTGTAAAATTTCACCATCTTTAAAGTATTTTATAATTACTGCCGTCCTTTGATTTGTTTCCATTTATTTCTATTATCTTGCAGCATCTTTTATCCAAATTCTTCTTTCTTATAAATCTTGTAAGTAGGAACCAGAAGCTTCTCCTTAATTGCAGTCATGTTTTTATTTTTCCATAATTCCATTAAAATTTTTGATTGTCATTGTCTATTGTAGTTTTTGCACTTGGGAAGAAAAATATTTTTTCTGTGTTTTGAATGGGGAAGATTGTTGGCAAAAGCAAATTAATCTGCCTGAATCAATCCCATTATTTCTGTATACTAGTCTGGTCATGTCATGAATTCCAGGACTTTGCACTAACTGTGTTTTGGCTTTTATTCTTTTCTTTTTCTTTTTCTTTTTTTTTAAGCTTTAAGCTTATTTTTATACAGATTTAGTGTTTGATTTGTATGCATTCTGCATGTAGTGTTTTCCAAATGTATTATTGCTGGATAGCTTATTCAGGACTAAAATGGCTCATGGGAAGTTGCATAAAGATTTATGCTTGACTCTGCATCTATTAAGCCTCCTATCATTACAAAACAATTTAAACATTTTATGTAGAGTAATAAAAGATTTCAGAGTGATTTGCGTGCTATGAAATCTTTTGTTAAAAGCAACTTTCGAAGGGCTTCTGTTTTGGTGACAACGAATGACCATGATAATCCTCCTTACCAACCCAGTTTTCTGATTTATCAACCTCAAGTTTGCTGCTGTCTGTGGTTGTTAAAATTCATTCTCATTTGCTTGGTTGGGCAGCTCTTTGGTGTGTGTTTTGGAGCTGGGTGGGTGGTGGGAATGCCCTCTCTTCCTCCTTTACTCAGTTCTTATCCTTACTCTGCCGTATTCAAACTGGCATATATTTGCCCTCTTAATTGCTTTGTCCATTTGAGTTAATTGTATAAATTGTAATTGCTACTCTTCTTAATGGTTAAGATCATTCTATAGAAGGAGGAAAAAAACCAGAAAATAAATAATAGAAAAGGCAAATTCTGTATATATCTGTATGCAGATGTATACAATTATAATCTTCTGACTAGAAATTCAGTGAAAAAATTTTTTTTGTAGAATCTGTTAAGTTGACAATGCTATTGTAAATTGTTACCCATTTCAAAGAAGATATCAGAGAGCCCTTTTTAAAAAATAAATTAAGACATAGTTGCTAAACAAAAGCATTATTGGATTCTATTAAAGTAGTTTGTAATGACACCAGTATTTGATCTTTGTGTCCAGGGTCCCATGAGCCTATTTGGCATTTTGACAAAAGTAATAAAATGCTCCTTTTCTCTCCCCAGCCATTGCAACACAAGCTAGCATGGAGTTTCGACGAAAAGGGTCCCAAATGTCCACAGACACCATGGTTTCCAATCCTGTGTTTGATGCAAGTGACTTTCCTGATAACTATGAAGCAGGAAGAGCTGAGGCTTGTGGGACATTATGTAGAATTTTTTGTAGCAAGAAGACTGGAGAAGAGATTCTGCCAGCTTATTTATCCAGGTTTTAGAATTTTTTGTTTATTTTCACATTTGTATCATTTGATGGTGAAACACTATTGTGGCATGGCTTGGTAGGCTAAATCAATAAGCTATTCTTGGTCTGAAATACTTCCCAGTGTCTTTATGTAATTGAAACTTGCTTGTTCTTCCATTTTACCCGCCTCATCAGATTTGGTAAAGATTTCTAAGGTTCTGTTCTAGAGCTATTATTTATTCTATCATTTATAAATTCTGGAGAGATTTTGGAAGTAACAGTTTGTTAATAGATTTTTTGGCACAACATTAGGTTCTGTATACAGTCCAGAAATAAGTCAGCTGTGAATCTTTACTCAAAGGAGTTTAGTGACTATGGTGAATAGGTTCATGCAAAAATAGCAGTGGTTCAGTAGGAACCAGAAGTTGGCAGGAGACACAGATAAATGGTTTTAAGTGTTTGGAAGAAACAGCAGCTCATACTTAGCCTAGAGGACTCAATAAAGAGTTCTGGCATATTTTGTACTGGATTTAGAAAGGATGGATAGTGTTTAAACTATTGGGAGGTTGGGTAGGATTATCATTTCCAAAACTCTGGCCTCCACCATCTGTGGATCGTTCTGCCATCAGTTTAGCTGCTCAGGCCAGAACCTAGGCATCTTTGGCCTCTACTTCCTCTCTCTGAGTTGATTATTCAACTCAGCTCCTGCCTTGTAGCATTTGACTCTCTTATTTCTCTCACTATGGCACTTCAGATTTTGTTACTCTTCCTAAATTCATAATTTTTGATTCTGTTTTGCTCTTCTCCACTACTTATTCACACAGCTGCTTAAGTAAAATTACAATCAAGTAGAACATTGAGATACCTGTATTGCTAGGTGCTCAGGAAAGATTAGGTAAATTGACTCCCAGCAGAGGAATCCAAGTCTCAAGCATAAGGCACAGAAAAACATAGTGTGTACTGGCCTTAACCATGAGCTCTTATCTTTAAATCTGCTTTAAGTCAGTGAATAGATTAAAAAGATGCTAGGGATATTTAACAGAGTCTAAGGTCAAGCAGTACATCGAGGAATATAAAAAGTAGGAACCAGGGGCTGGAAAGTGTTCAGGGACCAGAGCAACTCTCCTTCTTCCTGTGCTGCTTGTCTCCTAAAACTGCTTCATTTTTCTCTGTAGATCATTTTTCTTATACTGCAGTGTGCTTCTAAGTTCCTAGTTTTCATAGCCTTAGTCTAGAAGACTAGTGGAACCAGTAAACATCTCTGAAATAACAGGAAATTCTTGTGAAAGATCCGATCAATTAGGTGTCTGTCTCTGCTCTAGCTACATATAGCTGTGAGAGCTGGAGAGATATCCCAAATTATATCAGTAGCAATAAGAGAGAAAGCTATGAACATGAGCTTTCTGTCTAGTTCAGAAGACTGGGTGAGAGGTCATGAGACTAACTCAGCAGGTTTGCGAGAGGACAAATGATGTATTTAAGTTTCAGCCTTGCATTTCAAGGGCTTGTGGGATATTTATCAAGAACTGCATATTAAGTGCCTGTTTTTAGTTGAGTTCTATGCACACAAGGTAGATTGAAATGAGTTGAAAGGCATCAGTGAATGAGAAGATGTTTCCAAAGAGTTTTGCAGAGAAGAAAGAAGTGTCTAGTGATAAGAAGAGTATGGCAGTGCAGTTGATCTTGAATAGCAGGAACCTAAATGCTTAGTGGCTTGGTTGCTTAGTGGTGCAGTTGGGGGTGGAAGGAAAAGGACAATATGTTCAGGTAGATTCCTCAAAGGACTCTTTGCACAATTTTCATTTTATGATGAATGCAGAGTTTAGTGGGCTTCCTTCCTTCCTCTCACTAACCCCTCAGAAGCAATGGAGGAAGGAAAATGGTACAAACTCACCTGTTTCCTGGGAATGTGAATGCAACAACAGTTTATTGCTTTGGAATTCATTTAATTGATTCCACCAATTAATTGATAAGTACCCAGGCATTTGTTTTATTATTAGTACCTCATTTGTAGGCACCTGTAATTTGATTTACAAAAATTTAAAACTTTAAAAATGTGTAATAGGAATTGTTGAATCGTAGTAGTACCTTTAAAGTCTATAAACTAGAGTGAAGAGTGGACAAAGGCTTTTCAGATAACTATGTAGAAAATAATAATTCTGGAAATATTTGATCAACAGCTTGTTTAAAATTTTTTTCTTGCTTTCCTAGATTTTACATGCTTTTAATTCAAGGTTTGCAGATAAATGATTATGTGTGCCATCCTGTCTTGGCCAGCGTTATTCTAAACTCCCCTCCTTTGTTCTGCTGTGACTTGAAAGGGATTGATGTTGTGGTTCCTTACTTTATTTCAGCTCTTGAAACCATTTTGCCTGACAGGTAAGCTGTCATTTTTTACTACTGTGTCAGTTGTCTAGTTTGGTACTTCTCGTGTTTGCTAATTTACCCTATTTAGTTGTTTTCACAGTCCAGTGGGACCCAGGCTACATTAAATTGAGTAAAGAGCATCTCAATCCCTGATGCCTTCAGTCTGATATGTGCACGGGCTTACTGGATTTTTTTTTGGTTTGGTCTAGATGGGTCAAAAAAAACCCAGCCTGAGATCCTACTGTTAAAATGTAGGCCTTACGGTTTCAGTCAAAAATCTAGCTTAATTCAGTAATAGTGTAACATAGATGTTCTCATATATACAAGTAATAGGGTAATGTAGATGTTCTCATAAATACATTGATTGGGTTGTGGAAAAAATGGTATCGTAAATATTTGGCAGTAGGTAAAAATGCTCTTTAGCTGAAACATACTAATAACTTTTTATTTTTTGGCAGAGAACTCTCAAAATTCAAAAGCTATGTAAATCCAACAGAATTGAGAAGATCCTCCATTAATATCCTGCTTTCTTTGTTGCCCCTCCCTCATCATTTTGGCACAGTCAGATCTGAGGTAATGTTTCTTTAAATATTCCACTCCCCTCCTTTTTTTTTTTCTTCATGATGCAAGGTCTTGCTATGTAGCCCAGTTTGGTTGCAAACTTGAAATCCTCTCAACATCCTGCCAACCATCATTAACATTTTTTATTCTATATTCTGTTTTTGTATGCTAATGTAAGTCAAATTGCACTTCTAACAAACTGGAATGGGAGCTTTAGAAAAGTGACTTTGTATTCCTACATGCTCATACTGGCCTTTAATCCCAGCACTTGAAGGCAGAGGCATATGGAGCTTTGTGAGTTTGAGGCCAACCAGGGCTATACAGTGAGATCCTATCTCAACAGTAGATAAATAAACATTTTAAAATACACGTTTCTAATGGATAAATACATATTTCTAATAGATTAATGAGGTTTTTCTAATTTAGGTATTTCTTCTTTTAAAAAGTGCTAATATGCCTTGACTTACTAGTCATGTGTTTATAGGCTAATGACATCTGATTACATGTGTCAAATGGGAGCTGGGATTAGCCTGGAATCCTGGATTATTAGCCTATTCACCTTCTCTCTCCTGTTGCTGTTTCTAAATGAGCATCATGTACAATAAGTGATGTGAAATATTTTTTTTGTTTTTCTCCAGGTGGTCCTAGAAGGGAAGTTTAGTAATGATGACAGCTCTTCTTATGATAAACCAATAACTTTTCTGTCCCTGAAGTTGAGACTTGTGAATATACTAATCGGTGCCTTGCAAACGGAAACGGACCCTAACAACACCCAAATGATACTAGGTTTGTGTTCAGATAGTTTTTTGTTTGTTTGCTTTATTTTATTTTAGTTTAGTTTAGTTTTGGCACATGAAACCCAGGTACAAGTGACCAAAGGTATGCTGGGGAGACAAGTGAGAGGAGCTTAAGCCTGATACAGCTCTTAATATTCTGAATCAGAAGGGATCTGGCAAGATAGCTCAGTGCTTAAAAGATGCTTGCCACCAAGTCTCACAGACCTGAGTTTGATCTCCAGGTTCCACATGGTGAAAGGAGAACCTAATTCTTTTTTTCCCATTTATTTATTTATTTTTAATTAAAAATTTCCACCTCCTCTCCTCCTCCCATTTCCTGAACCTAGTTCTTTCTAGCTGTTCTTTGACCTCCTCACCGTACCATGGTATGCACATAGCCCTTCTCTCCCCAAACAAATACGTAAGTAAATAAATAAATGTAGTAAACAATTAAAAAAAGATTTAAGGAGATGAGATGAGGGACAGAAAGCATTTAGTTGTCTTGTCTGTGCTCCCCCTCTTCTTTGTCCTAACTTTCTTCCCTCTCTTTCTTTTTTCCTTCCAGTAGTTGGGTTTACTTAGGAAGTCTGGTATACTAGACAATGAGAAGGTAAACTTGTTTAATTTGACAAGGAGCTGAAGGAACAAGTGATAACACATTCTCACATTACTGTTGACATGGCTCTAGAAACATAAAAAAGCCAAGGAAAAAAGCTGGAAGCAAGAGAAGTGGGCTATGGGAATTCTGTACTTAGGAAGTGCATGTGAATGTTACATGTTAAAAAGATATTTTAAACCAGAGAGAGAGAGGAAACAAAATAATGTTCACATGGATGGCATTGTTAGAAATAAAAGAATGTAAATAGTTTAGTCCCGTGTGCTTTGGAGTTGGTCAGAAAATGGCTCATTGGGCTAAAAGTACTTGCCTTACAAAACTAATGACCTGAGTTTTATTCCTGGATCCTACCTTGGAAAGAGAGAATTAATTCCTGAAAGTTGTCATCTAACATCTACATACATTGTCGTTGCATGAGTTCTAATTGGTCTTTTTAATAAAAACCCAGAGCCAGATATCGGGGTAAATGCTGAAAGATCAGAGAAAGGAGCGAGCCACAGCCAGTTCTTTCCTTGCTAACTCCTGGCCCAAAAAAGGCCAACCTCATGTCTCCTCCTGCCTTATATGTTTCTCATTTTCTATCTGTCCGTACAGACGTCCAGACCTCTATGGTTAACTAGTGGCTAGCTCTGCCCTCTGATCTTCAGGCAAGCTTTGTTAGACTACAAACAAGATATCACCACATACTGTGGCTTGCATATGTGTGCAACCCCCTTCCTCAAATAAAAAATAAAATCTTGGCAGGCATATCAGAATTTTGGGATTTATAAAGCATTATTTTTTAAAACAATATATTTATTCATAATTGTCAGAGAATTTCAGAAATACTTTACCAAAATTTCTCTTTTTTCTTTTCTTTTTTTAGAGGGAGGGGAGGAGACACAGGGTCTTGTATAGCCCAAGTGACTTCAGCTCATAGCAGCCTTCCTTCCTGCCTCAGGCTTCCAAGTGCTAGGGTTATTCTTTTTATTCTGACTGAGGCATTGTAACTGTAATTGTATGTCATGTAAACTCCTTTGTTTTGCTATTGCAGGAGCAATGTTAAATATTGTTCAGGATTCTGCACTTTTAGAAGCCATTGGTTGCCAAATGGAGATGGTAAGAAGTTTACATAATCTGTCATAGAAAAATCTGCTTCTGATTTTATATAAACCATAGTTAGTAGTGCTTTAATTGAACCTAGGGGTATGCTTGTATGTATGTGTGCTTATATGTTTGAGTGTGTGTGTGTGTGTGTGTGTGTGTGTGTGTGTGTGTGTGAAAATGGGATATGGGTGGGTGTGAGCATGGAGGATGTTAGATATTCTGCACAATTGCCCTTTTCCCTTGAGAGAATGTCTTTTGAGGACCATGAAGCTAAACTGGCCGCCACCAAGCCCAGTGATGCTCTTGTTTCCACCCTTCCCAGTGCTGTCATTATAGGCATGTGGGTGGCTGTGACCAGCTTTTTACATAGGTGCTGGAGATTTGACCTGAGGTTTTCATGCTTCTGTAGCAAGTGTTCCCTCTGGCATTTTTAAAAAATATTTATTTATTTATTATGTATACAATATTCTGTCTGTGTGCATGCCCGACGGCCAGAAGAGGGCGCCAGACCTCCTCACAGATGGTTGTGAGCCACCATGTGGTTGCCGGGAATTGAACTCAGGACCTTTGTAAGAGCAGGCAATGCTCTTAACCACTGAGCCATCTCTCCAGCCCCCTCTGGCATTTTTTTTAAAAGTAGGTTTTGTGGATCAAACTCATGTCCTCTTGCTTGAGTGGTAAACACATTATTGACTGAGATCATCTCCCAGCCCCATATTGTATTTGAAGATTATATTCCTGTTCTGAGGTTTTGCTCCAGAGTCACTTAAAGTATTTTCCTTAATAACTCAAGAGGCATTAGCTAGTCAACTGTAGCATATGTAAAGGGTTCTGAGGTGGCCCTTTGAAGAACAGCATGGGGGACGCCAGTGTGGATACCTGTAGCTATCAAACCCTGTATACCCTTTTAACAGATAACATCAGAACAACAATACTACAGTGATTCTAATCCCTTGTCTGTTTACCTATATATCACCTTGTGCTAGTTAACCTGTTATGTTTGCATTACTGGGTATGAACCCAGGGCCTTATGCATATGAGGCAAGTGCAGTACTCCTGAACCATAGCTCCAACTCTTAACAATTTTATTTGTTTTGGTTTTTCAAGATCTAGAGATCTGCCTGCCTCTGCTTCCCAAGTGCTGGGTTTAAGGGCATTTGCCATCAATACTTGGCTCTAACAAAGTTTTAATATAAAAAAACCTTTTTATACTTGTGAACTGTTCATTTTGCCTCATTTTCGTTTGACTTAGGGTGGTGGAGAAAACAACCTGAAGAGTCATAGTCGTACCAATAGTGGCATTAGTTCAGCAAGTGGAGGAAGCACAGAACCTACAACGCCTGACAGTGAGAGACCTGCTCAAGCTCTCCTAAGGGATTACGGTAAGCTGTGTTTAAATGGTCTGTTAGCATTTACACGTAAGCAAAACTAAAACTTTTCAAGAATCTAAAACAAAAATAAAAATTTTATGTACTTAGGTATAATTGACAGAAGATGTTTGTTTAAAAAAACTAAGGAAAAGTATTTTTATGACTTCTTGTAGCTCGTTTTGGAGTTAGCTCTTCAGATGTTTATGATGAGAGTTCAGAAGGTGTTTGGGTTTTGTATTAGGCGCTGATGGTACAGGCTCACATAAGATGTGGGCCTTGCCTCAGAGCTCTCAGAATAATGGCAGAGATGGATGGTGAGCCCCATAATCTCAGTTGAGAGAAGTGATGGAGGTTGTATTAGAGGAGACCTAGAGAGGTGTGTGTCTCCATGTTAAAACTTACCTAGCTATTCTGTCTCATTAGGCTCTTCAGTTACAAGAATAAAGAGTCATTTTCTGCCCTGCTAAATTAAACACTTGCCAGGAAAACATCCTTTTCAGTGATGTCGTTTACACTGAGTAGTTATTTTATGAACTCAGTGTGAGCACTTTATGTTTTATGTACAAATGCTGATAGTGATTGAATCCTTGTTTATTCCTTGAGATTAGAATACCTAATTCCCTAGATGTGAGCTTGACTTTTAATCATCTGGAGAGTCCATGAGCCATGTGCATGAGGCATGCTTTCATAATTGAATTTATGACACATTACCCGTTCGCATGTCAAATACATAGTCATGTGGATAGTCAGTATATTTAAATGGTTACCCCTTATGTAGATTTAGGTATTCTCCAGGTTGAACTGTTTCTTGTACTTTCTAAGACATTTTAAAATGAAAGATAATTTTGCGTTACCGCATGTGTTGTATATAAGTGTTTGAACTGATTGTTTGTTCCAGCATTTTCAGCTGGTGTTAGTGAGCTCTGCTTGTTATGTCATATCTTTTACTAAAAATTTCCAGATTTGTGTTAGTGTCGCATGACTGTCTCTCTTTAATGATCATTCCTTTTTCTGTTGTCACTGCCCTCTTTCTGATAGGATCCACAGGTATAATGCCCCTAAAGCTTCCTTTTTAATTACAATTTAATTTATCTTAGTTTAATTTCTTGGAATTCACTCTTTAATGAGTAATAGTTACTTTAAATTAAAATTGAAGTCCAAGTTAAAACAGTGACTTGGTCATTTAACTTATTAAAGGTATTAAAATAGTGGTAAAGAGCTGAATGTAAATATGGGTTTGAAGAGGCATTGCATGTGGTTTTACTGGTTTAAGCCCTATCATTGTAGGAGATGCTTTAAGGTAATTCCTAGCATCTGAGGAGGCTATCAGTTGAATTCTTGCCTCTGTAAAATTCTAAGGAAATATTTGGTTGCCTTTTCATTGTTCTTTTTGAAAATTAAATTCTATAAGTTATTTATTTAAAAATTTAAGACACTATTTTTCCTTATAAGGATGGTACTGAAATTGGCAAGTCCATAGTGTTCTTTGTCAGAGTGTGGACCGGGAGCTAGAAGCTGGCCCAGCCCCATATGTGCCTCGTACACCATCAGTCAGGCCTGGTGCTCAGGCCGGTGGGCGGGGAGCATAGCTCTGTGTGGGTGCCCATTGTGCTCACTGTGGCTGCTGTGGTCTGTGCCTGGTGGAATGCTGTGCTTCTGTTACTAATGCTTAGTTGTTTTCCCTCCCTGTGGATGTGGCATTGGGTTATATCCTAGCTCTTAATACAGATTCAGCTGCTGGGCTCCTGATTCGCAGCATCCATCTCGTCACCCAAAGACTCAACTCCCAGTGGCGGCAAGACATGAGCATATCCCTGGCGGCTCTGGAGCTCCTCTCTGGCCTGGCAAAGGTGAGGGCAGTCCCTTATTTCAGTCCAGCACATTTGCGTCATGCCTTTTTTTTTTTTTTCCTGTATTTTGACATCCACCCCTTTGTGTAGGTATTATAGGGTTGTCAGTACATGTGCATATTTTACATCCAGAGTATACAAAATTGTACCTCCAAGTGAATTTTGCAAAATGAAAAATAGGTGCAAAGGATATGAATATTTCTGTTAAGGTATAGAAAACATTTAATACTGGTGACTATTTGCACATAATAGTATATTTATTGCTTTTATAATGAACATTTATCATAAAATATTTCTGTGATTACTATTTTCTCTTATCAGTATTAAGCAAATATTGACTATATATTTAATTTTCTCTCACAGTTATTTCAGTTTTGTGGAACCTTAGAAATGGGGTTCACTTGCTCTTAAGCCTCAGTCTCTCTTTCTTGCTCTCTCCCTGAAATTCATGTAACATAAAACTAGCCATTTTAAAGCAAGTGATTCGGTCCTGTCAGTACATTTGCAGTGTACTGATATTTCTAAGTGTTTTTGTCACCCCGGAGGGAAATCCCTAAGCCCCAAAGCAGTTGCTTTCTTGTTCACTTTCCCAGCCACCACCTCTGACAGCCATTCGTCTTCATTTTGCTTCTTTGGCTCTACCTAATCAGGACCATTCACAGAAAGGGATCAGTAGGAAAATCATGTAATGTGTGTCATTTCAAGAGTGCCTGTTTTTCTCACTTGAGAAGTAATTTTTTTGGGTCGGGCCTTATATGATTGCACAGCACCATGCTGAATGTAATTATTGCTATTTGTTTGCCTACTCATCAACTGAGAGGTATTTAGACTGTTTACGTCTTTAGACTTTACTAGTAGAGCTGCTGTGGATGCATGGGAACATGTATTTGTTTGGAATATCAGTTTTCAGTTCACTAAGGAGTGAAATTCTTAGGGTTGTGGAAATTCTGTTTAACTTTTGAAGAACTGCAAATAGTTTTTCCACAGCTCCCGAGTCCTTTTTCATTCCTTCCAGCAACATGCAAGGGTTCCAGTTTTTTCCACATCCTCACTAGCATCTGAGTATTTTTTATTATTGAAATGGAAAAGATTATTTTTCAAATACCACTTTGTGTTGTGAGGAGGATCAGATGAGGTGAAAGTATAAAATATATTGTGGTCATGTAGTAATACTCATCACAGAGTGGTAGTGTCTGAGATGAAGTTTAGACCTTTACTTTAAAGTTGTCTAACAAATTTTGAGAGACAAAATAGACAAGAAAACTTAGTATGTTCTCAACATTACTTGGAATTTAACTGAGAAATCCCCAAATGAGGGGCTGGAGAGATGGCTCAGAGGGTAAGAGCACTGACTGCTCTTCCAGAGGTCCTGAGTTCAATTCCCAGTAACCACATGGTGGCTCACAACCATTTGTCATGAGATCTGGTGCCCTCTTCTGGTCTGCAGCAGACATGCAGACAGAATACTGTATACATAATTAATAAATAAATCTTTAAAAAAAAAAAGAAATCCCCAAGTGAATAGATATATGTGGAGCATTTGTTGATTTAAACATTAGGATAGCCATTCATGAGAAATGGTGGACCACACAGAGAGCAAGGTGCTGCTCCCTATGACTTGTGGTCTACTTTTAGTTCAAGATGTGTTTAGCTTGTATGGAGCTCTGTTCTGGACCTGTGTCATCATATATAATGGGTTAATACTACCTGATTCCATAACTCTCTGTAAAGATACAATTGATTAAAACAGTCTTGTGTTAGAACAGGATTGAATGAATAGATTAGTGGTCTATAATTGAGACTTCATGACCACACCCATGTGGCTGTCTGGTTTTTAACAAAGGTGCAAAGATAACTCTAAGGAGAAAAGTTAGTCTTTTTGATCAGTGTTAATGGTAGAAAACTTGGTTTCATACCTGTTTTGTATATGGTAGGTACAAAAATCAGCTAAAAATGGATTGTAAACTGAAATGTAAAAATGTATTAGTTACTTGTCTCATGCTGTGACAAAATCCCTGACGAAAGCAACTTAAGGATGGAAGGGTTTATTTTGGCTCACAGTTCAAGGGTACAGTCCATTATGGCGGGGATGTCAAGGTGGCAGGAGCTTGAAGCAGCTAGTCACGTTGAGTCTGCAGTCAGGAAGAAGAGAGCAGATGAATGCTTGTGCTCAGCTGGCTTCTTCCTTTTTATGCAGTCCAGTACCCAAACCCAGGGAATAGTGCCACTCTCCTTTAAGGTGAGTTTTCCTACCTCAATATCACTAGTTGTTAGGGAAATGAAATACTATTACGTACTCAGTAGGATAGCTAAAATTGAGGACTAGGAGAATAGCTTAGGGTAAGAGTTCTTGCTATGCAAGCATGAGGACCTAAATTCATGTCCCCAGCACCTCTTTAAAAAGCTTCAAATGACCACATGGACCTCAGGTAGAGATAGAAAGATTCCAGGAGTTTTCTAGCCTGCCAGCATAGCTGAAACAGGAAACTTTAGGTTGTGTGAGAGACCCCTTCTCAAGGGAATAATGTAGAAAGTGACAGAGCTGTGGGTGAGACCCCTGTGGGTTTTCCTAAGACCATTGGAAAACACACATATTTACATTACTATTTATAACCGTATCAAAATTACAGTTATGAAGTAGTAGCAAAAATAATTTTATGGTTGAGGGTTACCACCACATGAGGAACTGTATTAAAGGGTTGCAGCATTAGGAAGGTTGAGAACCACTGTGATAGGAAAGGCACCCAGCAGTTCTCCTGTGGCCTCTTCATACACAAGAGAGAAGGAGAGAAAGAGAAAAAGGAAGGAAGGAAGGAAGGAAGGAAGGAAGGAAGTAAGGAAGGAAGTAAGGAAGGAAGAAAGAAAGAGAAAGAAAGGGAAGAAGGCTAAATTTAAAAAGATTGACCATACCAAATGATGAGGATATAAGGAAACTGTTAATGAGAATGTTAATTGTAATAACCATTTTGGAAAACAGTTTGGCAGATCCTTAAAAATTTAATAAATCATGTATCTTATGACCCTCTTATTCCAGTCTCAGTGTATAAGAGAACATGCATCCAGTCAATGACATGGATCTTCATAGCAACTATATTTGTAATATCCATGGGATGGAAATAACCTAGATGTCTATTAACAGGTTACTGGGTAGACAAATTGTGCTGTATTCATACACTGGAATATACTCAATAAAAAGAAGCATTACAAAAAGCAGATACATCTGGAAGTAATTAATTATGTTAATACCTTTCCCCAAAGTAGATACTGTAGTCTAATCTATTATAATAACAGATAAGCAGTACCTCACAGAGGGGGACAAGAGGCATGGGAAAAAGCTTACAGAGGTGCATGAGGACATTTGGGGGTGATGTTTATATTCATTTTCTGATTGTAGTGATGGTTTTTTTAGGTTACATATTTTGAACATGTAGCTTACTGTAATTCATAATTGAACTGCTAAGCCATTTCACTAGACTTTGTGGAGAGCAAAAACCATCACTATGAGGTTGGGTTAGGGACTTTAAAAGCACACACATATTCCATTGCTGGCCATTCCTACACATTTTACAATACGTGTAAGTGCACCCAAGAGCTTTGAGTTTTAAGGTGTAAACAACCATGTTAAAGTACTGTCTTAGGGTTTGAGAATGTCACTTTTTTTTATAGTATATCTGTAATATTCTGTTCCTGTATATAAATAATATTTTAAAACAAGGCCTCCGTGTATCACATTATCAGATAGGCTCAGTTGCAGGGCAAATGCTTGGTGTAGTGGCTCCTGACTAACTGATTTTGTTCCTTAAATGGACATGCTTAGGTGAAGGTGATGGTTGACTTGGGAGACCGGAAGCGTGCCATCAGTTCTGTGTGCAGCTATATTGTATACCAGTGCAGTCGGCCAGCTCCTCTTCACTCCCGGGATCTGCACTCCATGATAGTGGCAGCATTCCAGTGTCTCTGTGTCTGGCTGACAGAGCACCCTGATATGCTGGATGAAAAGGTAAGCTTATTCAGTCTTGAAACACAAAGTAGGAATAAAACTGTTTGTTGAGAAAATACCCTTTAAAAGAGAATATCTGAATTTAAATACAGTGTCATATACTTTGAATGTACTTGTTTGATTTCAGTAGGACATTTATCTTTTGAGCATAATTTATAAACTGTCATCATGCTTAGATTTGTTTCCAATAATCCCACAGAAAAATTCTTTTTTTTTTTTTTTTTTTTTTTTGGTTTTTTGAGACAGGGTTTCTCTGTAGCATTGGAGCCTGTCCCAGAACTAGCTCTTGTAGACCAGGCTGGCCTCGAACTCCCAGAGATCTACCTGCCTCTGCCTCCCGAGTGCTGGGATTAAAGGCGTGCGCCACCACCGCCTGGCTCAGAAAAATTCTTTATGAAAGAGAAGATCTTGCCTAATTTTTCTTTTATAAAAAATGATATTCTCATTAATTCTAGTAAAAATTCAAACTGTATTTTCAACATATCTTCTTTTACCAAGACCTAACCTCACTTCCTACCCAATTTTGAGATTTTTTTTTCTCGTCTATTGAGTTCAGTTTGTGTTTCCTAGCTACTATTGGTAATGGGTCTGCCCTGGAGTGTGGTCAGCCTACCACTGATCCTGTCATTGAAGAAAGTTGATTCTGTCTCTCCTAGCAGCTATCATATATGATCACATATGCCTATAGTTCCCCAGCTAGTGATAATAATTTCTGCCTATTTCTACCATCTTTGTGCTGAAATTTTGGTTGAGCAAACTCAAGCCTTTTGTATGCTTTCACAGTCGCTATGGGCTCATATATGCAACTGCTGTATCTGGAAAAGTACTTTTTTTTTTTATAGGATGGAAGACTGGAGATAGCTATTAATTAAAGCTATTTGATTTCCTATTATCAAAGACAGGCACTTAATTGTGAATCTACAAAGCTAGGGCACAGTTTGGCTGTACAAGTTACTTTTTATTGAAACATATTTCTCACAGATTTCTGCAATTTTAAATGCGCACAGATATCTAGTCTTTTTTTCCCCACTGTACCTTAGAGGGAAGCAGGAATAATAAGCTCAGTGATATGAGAGCTTCCCGAGATCACTGATATTTAGAAAGGAAGAGATCTTTGTAAGTAATTTTGTTGATAAAATCTGAGTTATTTTCATCATGGCTTTCAAAGTTATGATATCAAAAATTGTACTAGACTTGTAGCCAAGTTTAATACAATGCTTGCTTAGCATTTTTGAAGCACTCAGCTTGATCCCTAGCACCACATTAACCTGCTATGGTGGTGCCTATTTGTAATTCCAGGTACTTGGCAGGTAGAAGAAGGATCAGAAGGTCAAGGTCAACTCTGGCTATGTAATGAGTTAGAGGCCAGCCTGGGCTACGTGAAACTCTGTTATACAAAACAGTTTTAAATAGAAATTATTTTAAAATGTTAGTCATTGATGTTGGAGATGATAGCAACTGCCTGTAATCCTAGCACTTAAGAAGCAGAGGTCCTGGGTTCAGGGTCAGCTTGGGCTACATAGTGAGTTTGAGGCCATCCTGACTTCCCTAGTGAGATCCTGCCTCAAAAAATGAATAATTAACCTCTTTGGTATATTTACCATCTGGGTTTGGCAGAATTTTCTTCGGAATCTATTTTACTCATTCCTTGACAATTTTGTGAGCTCTGTAACTTATAAAATTAAAACCTATTTTTAGTCTTCTTCTGAACATACAAATTTAGTTCTTTTAAGAGAAACTTAATGGAAGTATAAATTTATTTTATTATGATGCAAACATATCTGTTAAAGAGCATTAGCAACTGGAACGTTACCCTAAAACATAACCATTGTTACGGTTTCCTTATCTTCTCTTAACCAACCTGAGGCTGTGAGACGGCTCAGCAGGTAGAGTGCTTGCCCCCAAGTCTGATGACTTGATTTTGATCATTGACTTTTATGTGGTGCAAGGAGAGAGCCAGCTCTCAAAAACTGTTCTCTGCCCTTGATTTGTACACAAACACACATACACCCTCTCTTAAATAAATAAATGTGTTTGAAAAATATTTTAAAAAATCATTCTGTCTTTTCCTACTTCTAGGATTGCCTTAAGGAAGTATTGGAGATTGTAGAACTGGGTATCTCAGGAAGCAAGTCCAAAAACAGTGAGCAAGAGGTCAAGTACAAAGGCGATAAGGAGCCAAACCCTGCGTCCATGAGGGTAAAGGATGCTGCAGAAGCCACTTTAACATGGTATGGAAACAGCTGCTGAAGACTGAGCTGTAACAGACAGGGCAGCAGTGTTCTGTGCTGCTCTGTCTTCCTTGTTCAGCACGGAGTAACTCAGTCCCTGTAGGGTACTGCGTCTCCAGACACAAAATGGAAAGGGAATACCCTTTTTGTATTCATTCTTAGATCAACAAGAAACCAGAAATTTGGGATCTTTGCATTTCCATAGTAACTGATAACTCAGTCAGCTCATATTCGAGCTAGGAATTATCTTAGAGCTACTTCATCTCCTTTGATGATTTAACCTAGAGAGGAGATGTGACACAGCATCAGATCTGCTACCCAGTGCTGGTCTCTTCTACATCTTTCATGTTCTATGCAGCGAAGATTTTTTTTTTTTAACTCCCTTTTAAGAGCTTGGTAATAGAATCATGCAGATAAATCAGATTCAGTTACCTAATGAGTACTATCTGGTACAAAGTCTTTCAATATTGGTGGATAGTAAGTACCCCAAAAGAAGAGTTACAAATAAAATGGCAGGGAACTGGGAGTAAGTGAGTGAGTTATGGAACTACATTGATGGAGACTGAGAGGATGGGTAACGTTTGAGCTGTGAGCAGCATTGCAGGCAATTAAGAATGTTTGCCACATGGAAACAAGAGATTGTTTCTTTGAAAAAGTGGCAGAAAGAGTTGAGAAAGCCCTTTGTACTTGGTGGATGGGGGGACTGGAAAGAGGACTGGATTTGGGTGCATCTGCAGATTGAATAGTCTGCATAAGTAGAGATTGCATTGTTTCCTAGAATATGTAAAGATATGGCTCATGCAAGGAGTATGAACGAAAACCTAGGAAAACAGAACTAAAGGAAGGAAGAGTGTCAGGTTAGTAAGGACTGGCTGGAAGATTGTGTGTAAATCAGCTCTGCCTAAGATCCTGACATCCTTTGTGAGTGCAGTGTCCTTTGGGTTATATTCAGATTAGTTGGATTTGTTTCTGTTGTTCTTGGGCTTCAGTCATAATTCTCAGTATGCTTGCTTTTGTTTAGAACTGTGCACTATGATAACGGCTAGACTTTGAATACATTTGTTGAGGTTTAACTAATAGCTAGAAAATTGGTGATGACAATATGTGCTTGTATAATACCTGGGCAGGGAGCCATAAAGTTCCATAGCACCGGGACTTGATAATGTGTCAGGAAGAGGAAGAAGGCTGAGATAAGCAGAGAGAATCTTTGCTCACTAAGAGTTCTTGAGTTCTTTGTGCTGCAGGAAACCTATTCCACTTCAGCCTGTTGTCTCTGTGAGAGTATGGTTGCCGCTGGGGGCTGCCTGTGTGCCTGGGGTCTTTTTCCATCAGCCTATAGTTATCTGAATAGCTCTGTCTTCATTTTTTGCTGTCTTGTCTCTATTCGCCAGTTCACCACAATGTCTTTAGTTTCCACTCTTCAGCAGTGCAGTGTTCCATCATGGTGGAGAATGTTCCCAGTCAGTTTTCTATTCTCTCACAGTTGCTGCTTTTTTGTCAGCTTCACCAGTGGTTGTTCTGTTTTGACTTTTTTTGAGGCAGGGTTTCACTATATTTGGCTGTCTTGGAACTCACTCTGTAGACCAGGCTGGCCTCAAACTCACAGAGATCCTCTTGCCTCTGCCTCCCAAGTACATTTGCCACTATGCCCAGCTGCCACCATTGTTTTCAGTCCCCCTCCCCCGTATTTATGTCTCTGTCATTCCTCATGAGTCCAGCAATTAAGTCCAGCAGACTTTCTTTGTAAGGTCTCTCACTGTCCCCGGAAGCCTGAGATAGTATTCTGTACGAGGTCACTTCACTTCTTGCATGATTTCTGTTTCCAGTCTAATTCTCTAACTCTTCCTGTTTGTCTTGCACTCTGTGGCTAAACTCTTCTTCAACGCTATTTCATCCTACTGCTTGAGTGGTTAAAAACCTCAAGTAGATCTCTGGTTTCCTAACATGTCTGAATTCTAGTGGAGGGTCAGGGAGGTGGATTGATTTCTCCCACCACTGCTCCCTAATACTCCCTTGCCATAGTTGGGCTACTTAAAGTGGTGAACTGGGCATGTTTATACCTTCTTATGCATCTCTCCTGTATTTCAAACATTACCTACTGTTCAATGCTCACTACTAGCTACTTGTACGAACCTTTTTATTATTCTGATTTAGTGGTTTTCACTACCTCCACACTCATTGTCTGCCTGTCTCACATAAGGTGGAGTTCCATACTGTTACAGTCGTATCAAGTTTTTTTGGTACATGTCCATCTGTCTTTGATAACATAATGTTGGCATATTAAAAGTATAAATTCAGAATTTGTGCTCTTAGAAGTCATTTCAGTGGTACTTTTCCTTAAGGCATATTTACTAAATGCTTAGCATTTAATTTGGGTTTAGAGTCTAGCCCCTAAGATTTATTTTAATTATTAAAAGCTTGATGTTCTATATCAAACTAAAATCTCTCATGTTAACTTGTTCTCATTGGTTCTTATTCAGACTTTTGGTAGTAATTCTTTCTCCAGGCAGGAGCAGTATACAAAGACAGTGTTTATGTTGCTCTGGTTCCTTTCTGCTAGTGCCTTCACATGGTTTTGGTATTACATGCATTTGAGTACCTTTATCATCCTGTCATCCAGCTGTATAGCTTTGACCATGTATCTCTCACAGGAGGATCACTGAGTACAGTGTACTATATGGGATCCAAATGTCTTCAGACTCTCTAGAACAGTGTGTTTCATCAACCTTTATTGGGAGACAGCAAGAAGACTTTGCTCACTTGAGAGTCACATTGAGTTAACTGGACTCTTGCCTTTTCATGTTTCCTTTTCATCTGTTGTTCTCATCCTGTGCTTATTTGCACAGTATTGAAATTTCTTTTTGTAAATATTCCACATTATCTCTAGTCTTTTTAAAACCTAACTCTTATTCTGATATATGATATCTGCAGATTAAGTTCTTGTCTTTTATAGGGTTTTTTTTTTTCCTTAATTATTTTGCTTTTCCCCTCCTCTATGACAGGGTCTCACTATGTAGCTCTCTCTGGCTGTCCTAGAACTCACTATGTAGACCAGGCTGCCCTTGAATTCTCAGAGATCCTTTTGCCTCTGCCTCCCAAGTGCTGGGATTAAATGTGTGCACTACCACACTCTGCTCTTTTTAAAAACAAAGCATGTATTCATATGTATGCATGGGCATGTGGATGTCAGAGACAACGTTTGAGAATCTTTTCAAATCCATTTCATGTGAGTTTCAGGGATTCCAACTCTGCTTGTATAGTCTCTGCCCACTGAATCATCTTCCTGGTTCTTGTTTGTTTTTGAGGCAGATTCTCAACTTTTTAAAGCCCAGGCTGGCCTCAAATTCATGTCAATCTTCCTGCCTCAGCTTTCTAGGTATTAGCATACAGGCATGAACAAATATTATGAGCTTGTTTTGTGTGTTGTTGTCTGAACACTGCTTATAGAAAGCAGAGGTTGAACCTCAGAACATATCAGCAGAGACTCTCTGGAGGTTCACAACAATGTTTAAACTTTATCTACAGGTTTATTATGACACAGTCAAGTACTTGTCATAATTTCAGAAATGTTTACTCAACATTCCAGTCTAGTCACTACCAGGAAAAGAAGAATGTGATGAGGCTGGTAATGATTTCATCTAAGCCGCATAACCTCTTCCAAAGGCCTGTTTGATACATCATAGATCTTCCATGGAACATGACAAGCTCACCCGGTCTGTGGGCTTTGTGACATCTGTCTCTGTTCTGCTGGAGAAAGCCAAAGCTGTATTTTCTTAGTACTAGTCTCCTGGATGACTCCTGTTTTCCAGTCATTAGAGTCCTGAACTTACTGAGTTTCCTCATTCCTTGAATTGTAGCAGTCATCCTAGGAGGAGTGAAAATTGCAAGGAAGACATCTGCTAGAAAACAGTGCCTTCCATCATCAGAGATCTTAGCTGAGGCCAAGGTGTCCAAGCTGAAGATTGATTGATAAATGGTGTTAAGGATTGTGGAGATGGCTCAGTGAGTAAGAGCGTTTGCTGAAAAATCTGAGTTCCTGGGTTCAGATCTCCAGTACCCATGTGAAAAACTAGACATGGCTGTGTGCATTCCCGTAATATCAGTGCTGAAAGGGAAGTCAGAGACAGGAAGACCACTGGGACTTATTGGCTGCCAGCCTAGTTCCATAGTTATTAAGAGACACAGTCTTAAGGGATTAAGGCAGAAAATGATAGAACAGGACTCTTCATTTCCTCCACATATACAACTCCCATGTATGCCTATAACACACATGCAACACACATACATACGTGTACACATACACAAAGGTGTTAAGTAGTTTTTTTGTATGGGATGCATATGAAAGGCCACATTGATACTACATGGTAAAAATCTGTTTAAATACAGAATGCTTTTCCTTTGAGCATCAGTGTATTATAAATGAATAATAAATGGTAATAAAAATGGAAATAATGATGGTACTTATTTCATTGCTTGTATGCAGAAATTTTTATTCCCCCCCTCTCTATGTATACATTAAGTGTATACACACACGGTGTATACATGCAAACGTTTCTGAATGGTAAGTCTTGATCAGTGGAACTCTGCTTGATAAAGCATTTTGTGTCATAGATTTATTTATGACAGTTTGAGATTTAACTCTTAGTGCCTCAGACTCCTTACTTGAAATGAGGATATATGTATTCCAGGACATGCAGGAAGTAGTCAGCAGGTCCTGGGATTTTTGGCCTCTTAACAATCACTTAGCTCTTTGGAGTTTTACATTTCCTTTTCTGAAAAGTGATGGGGTCTGGCTGATCTTTTTATCCTTTTCTTAGCCTAAGATACTTGGCTGTCATAATCCAGAAACCTGGAGCACACAAGCAGAATTTTAAATGTGTATTTAGGAGTTTCCTGATTTGGAACTGTAGTATTCCCTGGGTAAAAGAGAGAAATTTGCTTGCAATATGGGATGAAGCAGGACTGGGCAGGCAGAAGAACAAAAGCGCTGGACAGTAGAGGCAGTTGCAACAAAATGTTCAAGCCGACTTGACCTTGAGTGTTCTTTCCAGCTGGGGGAAGGGGACTGGTACCTAGGAACCTTGCACTAACTAGTAGTTGAATGTGGTCTAGTCCTAAAAGAAGCAGTGGCCCCCAGTGAGGCGTCCATGGCTGAGGGCAGTTCGTAGGTCAGTTGAAAGCTGTGGCTATTGTTACTCTGCGTACCTAGGAACCTTGCACTAACTAGTAGTTGAATGTGGTCTAGTCCTGAAAGAAGCAGTGGCCCCCAGTGAGGCGTCCATGGCTGAGGGCAGTTCGTAGGTCAGTTGAAAGCTGTGGCTATTGTTACTCTGCGTCTGGGTGTGGACGTCAACACCCACAACATCTGGGAGAAGACCTTTCATTCTTGGGGTACAGATTCTACCCAGTATGCCAGGGTATTTTTTGCTACAAAGAATAAATCTGACCTGTGAAGAGGAAGCATAACTGTATCCAGTTAATTCAGAGGAGCAGTAGGATATATAGATTGAAAAGGTCGTTAGAATTTTCTTTAGGAATTAATTGTTCTTTATTCCATTCTCCATAGTATCATGCAGTTGCTTGGCGCTTTTCCTTCACCCAGTGGTCCTGCCTCTCCTTGTAGTCTGGTGAATGAGACCACTCTGATCAAATACTCCAGGCTGCCAACCATAAACAAGCATAGCTTCCGGTACTTTGTCTTGGATAACAGTGTCATCCTGGCAATGCTGGAGCAACCGCTTGGAAATGAGCAGAGTAAGTTGTAGCACTCTTAGCTTTCTCTACTGCTCGAACAATGTGTTCTCAGTTTTCCCAGGCAAGCACAGTCTGAATTCCAAGTAACTATTTGTCAGAAAGACTTGGAGCTATAAGATAGATCACTGGAGAAACAGAGTTCAGAAAATAGAATGTGTCAATGAAGTAGAACTGTTTAAAGATTATTTATGTATGCTTGAAAAAGTGTCTCAAACTTTGATGTAAAGTTTACGTTAGAGATATTTCATATTTACTATATATAAAAGTCATTGTTGGTTTTTCTTTCCTTGTGTACCTTGGATCCTGCCCCTCTACTCCCATACTTCACCCATACTTGTTCTGTTTTGGTTACTGCTGCCCACACAGGCTAGAAATTTGAGATAGTCATCTTTGTTTCCTCCTCCTGTCACTTCCTTACATAATTAGTCTCAGTGTCTCTACTACCCCAGTGACTCTTGGATCTTTCCTCTGTATTCCTCCCAGTACATCTGAATGCAAGGCCTTATTAATTTCTTATGTTGATTTGTTGCATTTTCTTTCTACCTGGTTTGATATCCCTTTTGGCAGTTCAAAAATTTGTTTCCCCTTCCCTCTGCCCTCCTTGCTCCATAGTGTTCATCCTTAAGCATGTAGATGTGATCTGGTGAAAAAACTTCAGTGACTGTTTATTAACAAGACATTCACTATCCCACAGTTATGAGGCTCACAGAGGGTGCGTGATTTACTTAGGGTAACTTGAGAAGTATATAACTAGGATTCAAATTCAGGTTTTCCAAACAATACTATTTTCTGTTGTTGTCCCACCACAGTAGGACTTCCTCAGTGACTAAAGACACATGCAAAGGTAAGCGGAGTCTTTGAGTCCTGTACAGCTTCTGTTGACTCTAAGCAGGATGTCATAATTCTACAAGATGAGAAACCTAGCCCTGGTTGCAATAGAAGGACACTATTTCCATCGTAGCATGGTTAAGTTTAGTGACATTAGTATGAAATAGAATGGCACTATTCATCATTGGTCAACTCTGCCTTCTTTACCCCAGAGCTAAGGCTTGCCTGGCTTTCTTTCCTTGCTGCCTACTTTTCTTAATTTTACCATCCTCCTACCCCTAAGTCATTTGCTGAACAGCTTGCAGAATCTTAGTGTCCCCTTTTAAGCTTCCGGGTTCTCTTGCAAGGTTTTTTAGGCTTGCCTTAGTCTTATTCCAAGTAACTTTACTGCATAGGTAGTCTACAAAAAATAAAATTAAAAAATTAACAATTTTTATACAATTAAGATTGTTTATTGAAATAGTTAATAACAGAAGAAATGAGAGAGTTTGAACCACTTTTGATTCCCATAACTGAGACAATGAAAGGGAATAAAATGGATCCTGAACTTTTACATGTCCCTGAACTTCTGCTGGGAGGAAACAGTGCCTACAGTAGCAGGATCCTGATATCTAAGAGCAAATGTCTGTCAACACTATAGATAGCCAGCCTGTTTTCTTTCATAAAAGTTGTCTTCAGCACTGGAAGTTTAAGAGTGTTTGCCATGATAGATACCATTTCATCAAAACATACGTGTAGAGGAATGTGAGGATGTTAGGAGAGTCAAACTAGAGTTGGTCCAGAGTGGGGTGGTAGTCATGGTGCTTAGCCATGGCTTTGCCATTTAGGAGGCACTGTGCTAGGGCTTTGATCTGAAGTGTTCTGCAGGTGATAGCAGGTTGTGTATTATATGGTTGTTATCTGAAGTAAAAGTTTTTGCATATCAATTTTATTCTAGATGATTTTTTCCCCTCTGTCACTGTGCTGGTCAGGGGAATGTCGGGAAGACTTGCTTGGGCTCAGCAGCTTTGCCTTTTACCCAGAGGAGCAAAAGCAAATCAGAAGGTACATCAGAAGTTACAGTGTGTGAGTGAGTACATATATATGGGTGCATATGATTGTGTGCGTGTGTGTCCGTGTGTGATTTAAAGGCTAAATAACATTCCAACAGAAAGTCACAGGTTACATGTTTCTGATCCCTGGCAAGGTCCTCTGTCAAGGAATTTACTTAAGAATCATCTTAGGAACTTAGAATTCTGGGTCTACTGAACTTGTTACAGGTGTCTATAAAGCAAGGGTAGTTTTCAAAAGTTTTTCCAGTGATGCTGATACTCAATTAGGAATAAGGACTACTATTCTAAATAGTGGTCCCAGGCATATTTCTATGCAGCTTTATTATTTATTTATTTATTTTGGATTTTTCGAGACAGGGTATCTCCATAGCTTTTGGTTCCTGTCCTGGAACTAGCTCTTGTAGACCAGGCTGGCCTCGAACTCACTTCTATGCAGCTTTAAAAGTCAGATGCATACTGCATATGGGAGAAGTTTGCATAGGCCTTTGAGAGGTCTGGCATGTAGGACTTAGTTTCACATTGTTTTGTGTGACTCATTCTGTATAATTGCTAATATGCTATACAGTTTACTGCAATATTTTGTAGTATTTAAAATTAAACGGTTATTTTCTACTTGTTGGAAGCTTCAGATAAAGAAATGTTAAATCCCTTATAGTCACTTTTCAGCAAGAGCTAGCCATAGTTTGATAGTTCATGATTTACTGAATTTCCTTCACTTTTCTTTCTGTATAAAGTTTACTGCTTTTTAAATTATTACTTTCTAAGAGTTTTCTTTTCCCCAGCATTTGGATTCTCTCCAAATTTAACCCCAGAGTCTGTTAGTGAACTGAGCCAATTGTATTCCATCAGTGACTCTGTAAGACTCAGAGGGAAGCAGAATAGGAAAGGCACCGAATTCACTGAAGGTCCAGGTATGCCGTGTACAAGTGAGGGCCCATGCTCTAGTAATAGTAAATTTAGCTAAGGTTCTGATTGAACACACTTTCTAGAGATGCCTAGGGAGCTGAACTTACATTTTATTGTGTGAAGTGACTGGAGAGCTCTTAGGAAAAAAAATTCCCTTAATCATTAACTTAGAATTGAATGTGGATGACTGAGGCCTGAGCAGTAGAGGTCCAAAGCTATTTATTAGTCATGAAATCTATAAGTTGACAAACATTTTTAGAAAAATGAAATTGAGCACACTATACAGTTTTGAGCACACTGTATATAAAAAAGTATATAAAAGTATATAGCTTTCCTATTTGCACCACATGTACAGCATGTGCAGATTCTTGCTGAGTGTTGGTGATGTGCATGCCTAGGAAAATATAAGCATTAAAGTAGACCAGGGACATGGCTGAAGACACATCATGGAGGTAGTTGTTGGATGATGTGTAATAGCTATAATGTCATTTGTGTTATTTTGACAGCTTTTTGTGCCAGAATCTCGCCCAGTTCCTAAAAATGATGTTGGATTTAAATATTCTGTGAAACATCGACCATTTCCTGAAGAGGTGGACAAGATTCCTTTTGTAAAAGCAGATTTGAGCATTCCAGATTTACATGAAATTGTCACTGAAGAAGTAAGACAAGTTACTGTTAGCTTTTCCTAAAAGGATAAATGCAAACATTTTTAGATGGTATATGTGGTCAGGTATAACATTTAGTGTTAGGGAGGAGAGGCAGAAGATGGCTTTCATTTTTGCAGAAATTAGGAGATTTGACATGACAAGATGGATGTGTAGATTTGGACCAGTTGGTAAGAACTAAACATCTTTTAGAGACAGGATCCTTGGCTGCCTGGGATGTTTGCAGTAGATTTCAGTAGTATGATAACATGACCAAACTCTGGTAGTAAAGGCAGACATTTGGATAGTACAGGAAGTGGGGTTGGGATTAGAGAGAAAATCCTTGAAAGTGGCTCACATCTGGGGCTCAGGAGCGTGGTTTAAGTAGTTAAGGTTGAGGTGGTTGTATAATTAAGCCAGTTTGTTTGGAAGTATTTTTACACATGAGGAGGTAAAACTTTAAAGTAGGATTGATCAAAAGGTAAAGAATCCATATAGGTAAGTATTTTAAAACAAAGGATAGATACTGTAGAGTGAAGATAATCATCTGGGGGTCCAGTGAGAAAACAGCTCGGCCCCTCCAAGAGCAGAGATAATAGTGTCCTTTACAGCCAGGAGATGGCGAAACAATTGGTTAGGCCCTAGGGAAGAATTTTTGGATATAAGTCTGTCTTTGAACCATGTTTGTTTAATCCTGTGCTTTGTATCTAATTGAAACATAATGTTGATCAACAAAACTTATCATTTTCTTTATTGCTTTATTTTTGTTTTAAAATTAAAAGAAGCTTACTTCATTTTAAGAAAATGTTTTAAAAATATCTGACTTATTTCAGTTAGAAGAGAGGCATGAAAAATTAAGGAGTGGTATGGCCCAGCAGATCGCTTATGAAATACAACTGGAACAGCAGAGCGAGGGAGAATTGCAGAAGAGAAGCTTTCCTGACCCTGTTACGGATTGTAAGCCTCCTCCTCCTGCTCAGGAATTCCAAACAGCCCGTCTTTTCCTTTCTCATTTTGGATTTTTGTCCTTAGAAGCATTGAAGGTAATTTTTAGGAACTTCTATGAATAAATATATTCATAAATTAATCACCAGCTGATGATAGCTATACTATTTTTATCAAAATGAAGAAAGGTTTAAAACAAGTGAACAAAACCCCAGCTTGTATACTCTGCATGCGAATCAGCGGAGTCCTGTGCTGCAGTTGTGTTCAGTGTGGACGCCAGGAAAGTGCACCTGTGAAGGGGTTACTCCAGTGATAAGTTCAGATCTGAACTGGCTTTTTCATGCCACTCTGTAAAAGAATGAAGTTAATTCTGTAGTACCCTAAAATTTTATTCTATTAATTTATATGTTTGGTCTTGGTTTATAGTTCTGAGTGAATACAGGGCCATGCACATGCTAGGCAAGCACTCTGCCAGTAAGTTACATCCTCAGCCCCAGTTCTGTACTATTTTAACACAAGCCATATTCTATGTCATATAGTTTGGTAAGACTAGCTAATCATTGTGGCTCATGCTTAAAATGTGGAGACAAAGTTCAAGACCAGCCTGGGCCGCATAGTGAGAGCCTGCTTTAAAAGAAAAAAAAAAAGCCTGAGGCAGTATACCCTAGTATTGTAGATAGCTAAATAGGTAGTTAGGTAGATAACTTGCCTGAACAATTATGCAACTGACCTGGCCATAGGTCGGTCATTTATTTGTTTGTTTGTTTGTTTGTTTTTGTAGGAAAGCAGAAAGACATTACTATTCTATTGGAATTTCAGTATGCAGAGAGAATATATTTTATACTGTAGAAAATAATTTGAGATATGTAATGTTAACACAAAACCTTTTAAAATTGAAAAGGAAAGAACCAGAAATGATGGCACACACCTTTAATCCTAGTGCTTGAGAGGCAGAAGCAGGTAGCTAGATCTCTTAATTAGAATCTAGCCTGGTCTACAAAGTGTGTTTCAAACCAGTTCATAGTGAGACACTCTCTCCAAATAAATAATGGAAAATAGTAGATACAGAAGTAAATAAGAAAGGCACAAAACAAAAATCCTGCCTACAAATGATTAGTGATATTCCTAGTGGAGTAAATTACCATAGTAGAAGCAGTAAATCAAATATTTGGGATGAAAATTATTAAATCCTTTAATAACTTTGTTTCTAAGAGTGTAGTTTTTGTATTCATGGTAATATTTTAGAATTTTTTTT